GCCGCGGCCCCGGTGGTCCCGGCGGCGGTTTTGGGACCCCGAGGTTGGCCCCGAGCGCCGTGGCGCAGGGGCCCTCGGTGGCGGTCCGGGGGCGATGCTGTTGGCATCCTGGGTGGCCCGGGTCCCGCGGGCGGTGGCGTTTTCCCTAATGGCGCTTTGAGTCGCTGTTAGGGGAGGTGTGTTCGGTGTGCTAGAGTGGGCGCGTCCGGAGTGTGGTGAGAGCCTTCCTTCTTCTGATGCAGGATTTTTCTAATTTAGCGACTTTATGGACCACGGGCTCTAAGCCTCCCAGGTATACTGGATGAGGGCCCCCTTAATGGTCAGCCATAAGGAGCTGTTTTAAACGACCTTTCTGCTGACCGTGCCACAACGTCCAAGCTACTGACCAAGGAGCTTTCAAATCATTTTTGTTGAAAACCATACCAGGCGTAAGGCAGAGTTACTGTTTTTTCCCACACGTGGGATTTTTGAGGAAGTAGTGTTTGTCTTTGGGAAGACGAACATACGTTTAAAGATTTTTCTTACTATTAGCTGAAGAGTACAGTGAGGTGGTAGTGGTGGTGCTTTCTGTTTTGAGAGCACCAAGGATCTGGTTTTTCATCATTGCACTTTTGGTTTCCAGGAGACTTAATGTTTCAGTCTGCGGGTATCATTTTGTGGCCTCGTTTTTTTTTTTTTTTTTTTGTTTTGTTTTGTTTTTTAAATGTTAGAGCTACAGAGTTCCAGAGCTGATATAGTTCACTCGGGGTGAGAGAAGGATGAGAGATGCGTTATGTTTACTGATAAATGTAGTTTCTTTCTTTCTTTGTTTTTTTTTTTTTTTTTTGAGTTGGAGTCTCACTCTGTCGCCCAGACTGGAGGGCAGTGGCCGCGCCCGGCCACCGCAGCCTCGACCCGCTGGGCTCCGGCGATCCTTCCGCCTCCGTCTTCCAAGTAGCCGGAATTACAGGCATGCGCTACCACGCCCGGCTGATTTTTTGATTTATTGTAAAGATGAGGTCTCGCTGCCCAGGCGGGTCTCGAACCCGCGGGCTCAGGCAATCCACTCACCTCAGCCTCCCAAAGGCGCGGGATTACAGGCTGAGCCACCGAGCCCAGCTAAATGTAGTTTCTTAAACAGTTCCTTTCTTTCTGTACCTCATGTTACTACGGTCTCTTTCTATACCTTCGTTAGGCAAGACTCAGGGACTAAAATTGTGAGGAGGAGTAGAGGTGGTGAATAAACTATCCTTGGGTCCTCCAGAGCCAGGGTTCTCTATTTGCATTCAAGAATTCATCCAACTGTGGACCTAAAATATGAAGAAAATGACTTCAATTAAAAAAAAAAATACTATATGCTAAGTGCATTACAACGATACAAAATAATACAATATGACAGCTATTTATATAGCATTTGCTCCTCAAGGAAGTTGGCAAAAATATAAAGATAAAAAATTTGAAGACCATGTATATAGCCTTTAAATTGTATTAGGTATTATAAATAACTTAGAGGTCACTTAAAGTATATAGGAGGATGTGTATAGATTATATGCAAGTACTGTGCCATTTTTATAAGGGAGTTAGCCATCCCCTGGAATCAATCACCCAGAAATACCAAGGGACGACTGTGATTTGATTTGACATTTTGGGTTTTTTTTTTTCCTTTGCTACTGATGGTTAGAAAAGTTGCCTGAGGACACTAATAATATTGGACATATTCTGGGTAGTGTCCATCATTTCAAGTTGCAGTGCCTTTGTGTTTGGTCATTTATCTTGCATCATATTTTCGCGTTCCTGTTTGAAATAGTTATTCTCCAAAGATATTTGCATCTTGGCTGTTCTTTAAATTACTTCATTTTGGGAGGGGGGGATGTAACTTTTTTTAGTATTAACAGTTTTTAAAAAATTGTTTTGGTTATGAAACTAAAGTTGGTTTCTCTCTTGAAATGAAATAAGAAATGAAAAAAAAAATTTCTTTTTTTCTTGCAGAAAAGTCCACCATACATTTTCTCACCAATTCCATTTCTTGGGCATGCCATAGCATTTGGGAAAAGTCCAATTGAATTTCTAGAAAATGCGTATGAACAAGTAAGTTTTCCAAATAATTAGCGGAAAAGAAACTACTTTCAATAAGTCCTTCTTAAACTTTTTAAAGTGGGAGAACATTTTAAAATAATTTTATCATGCATATACCCAGTATAGGAAACATAGAATTGAAGCTGCTCTAGTTTAAGAGATGGAAGGGTCTTGGAGATACCTTCCCTTATAGCTGCTGGCATGGGGAGTCTTTGAGGCATTACTAAGGAAACCTGTAGTTCTGGCAACTGTGGTTTAAAAACCACTGTTCTTAATTTTGTATTCACTGATTGTAGCTAAAACTGATATTAATTAATCCTCATTTTTCTTAACCATGCATCTCTGGGATACTCTAACCTGCTTTATACATGTTCTGTGACTTTGCAGTCCACTTGGATGACCAGCATGACACCATAGCCACTCTAATCTTTGCTTCTCTTCTCTCTAATAAGCTTTCCCGTACCAGTTCAGCCATTTACTTCATAGTCCCAGTTTGGACTTGTCACTCTCAACTGTTTCACCTTCACAATATACCGTATTTTTAGACCACACCTTCTGGTTTGCTTGTGCGGTTTTTTCTATAATAAACATTCATTTACTCCATTAGTTCTTCTTTTCCACTGCCCCATTTACTTTCTCCTGATTTATCAGACTTTTTTCTTCGTTTTCCTTCTTTTTCACTGGGTCTGTGGTCCATTAGTTACACTCTTGCCAATACTGTACCTTAAATCTCCTTGCCTTTGGATCTTTTCGTTGTGCTCAACTGGCAAAACTTCAGTGTTGGAGGAAACCACTTATTTTCCTTCTTCTTACACTAGATTAACATCTTTTAATTTTATGATTGCCTACCTTAAACAAAATTTGAATACTGCTCAACAATCCTGTGAAATTCTTGTGACTGGCTTTTCCACTTACCACATTGACTAATTCAAACCTTCTCTTTTCTAAATATCTGAATCTTTCTACCTTTCCATCAAAGCAGGTAACTTTTTTCTTCCTCAGAGTGATTAAAAACCATCCAATGGTGGGAACTTCCTCATGTTCTCAATTTCAAACTTAGAAACCTGCTTATATTTATATAATCTTATTCCTTTTTTCTTGATTACAGTAATAATTATAAAACACTTTGTGCCAGTATTTAGTGCATTACAAAGATTATCTCCCTGAAGCTCCACAAACACCCACCCCTTCAGATATATCCATTTTATAGATGACAAAACTGAGAAGCAGAGAGGTCATATAATTTCTTCTTGAGCTCGCTAGTAGATAGTGGTCACACCAGGGTGGTCTGATTTCTGAGCCTGTGATTTTAATGATGATAATAATAGGAAGCAAGTCATTAAGGTTATGTAAGCCAAGGCACTCTTCTCTGCCCTGTGTCTACAATTTACTTATAATTTACTTTTAATCTTGATAGGAGCTCTGTGAAGGAGGTACTCTTATTATCATTTTATAGGTGAGGGAAACTAAAGCACAGAGAGGTTAAGTTCTCTGACTCTAGGTCCAAGATCACACAGCTAATAGGTGGAAGAGCAGGGATTTGAACCCAAGCAGTCTGCCTCCAGAATCTCATACTGTAGCTCACTATATTTTACCACTTTGATTTCATTTATATTTTGCTGAACTCTCCATCCCTCTCTTTTTTCTTAGGAACCTTATGCTGTTATTTCCTTCTCAACTGAATTTTCCCCTTTTTCTCTGAAAAGTTCTCAGATGTCACCCATTTGAAACTTCCTTGGTATGACTTATGAGGTCTGTATTGTGTGGTCTAGGTGATGCCTCAGGCTCAGCTCTTATCTCCTCCTTCCTGTCTTTTTCTCTCTTTGGGACTTTTGTGCATGTTTGGTTACCAAGCGAACTCCCACTCATTCTTCGGTCTCAGCTCAGGTGTCTCTTCCTCTCTTAGGTCTTCCTTTATAGGTTCTCGCACCACAGAGTATAATACTTTCTTTTGTATAATACTTGTCACATTGACAATTTTACATTTGTTAATGTGATTTTTTGATTAATTGGTATCTTTTCCAATAGACTAAGTTTTATGTATCAGGGGCAGTATTTTTGTTCAGATTATATCCTCAGAGCCTAGTCTTCAATAATAATGAGAAGAATGCAAGGAAAAGCATTTAACACCTAACCAGAGTAACCAAAAAAGAAAATGAAATTATTCAGTGTAGGTGAGATAGTTGTAAAAATGATTACTAAATACATTTCCAGTGTGTTCACATAGCAAGTACTATAGAAAAGGTCAGATTCTTTGACTACTGTTGTTTGTTTTTACCAAAGGAAGAAAACCACTGCATTCTTAGAGAAGTTCATTGCAGAATTATCTATAATAAGAAAATTTGACCAATATGCCCAATAGGGAAAGAGCAGTTGGGTAAATTAATATTGTGATGTCCATGTAAACTATAGAAAATATTTTCAATATGAACAGTGAAAAAAGCAGAATTAAAAGTTGTATTTATACTTCTTTTGCAACTGGGTGGACATAATTATAAATTTGGACAAAGACAGGAGTAGTGGGGACTATGGCAGGATGAAAAAGAAGGTTCATGTATGTTTTATTTTTTCAACAGTGTATTATTCTGTGATTAAAAGTATCTTAGTGCTGCATAATTTTTGATAACATGGTTGTGGCCACTCTCTCTTCAGTATGGACCTGTATTTAGTTTTACCATGGTTGGCAAGACATTTACTTACCTTCTTGGGAGCGATGCTGCTGCACTGCTTTTTAATAGTAAAAATGAGGACCTGAATGCAGAAGATGTCTATAGTCGTCTTACAACACCTGTGTTTGGGAGAGGAGTCGCATACGATGTGCCTAATCCCGTAGGTGACACTGTTATTATGAAGAAAGACAAATCTGTGTTTTAATAGTTACAGCTAATAGTGTGATATTGTACATTTAAAATGCAGAAAGTTTATTCTTTGGTTCAAAAATCTGAAGACTCATGAAACATTTAAAAGAAGAAAAGCCATGGGTAACTAATAAGGAATGAGTATTTTCTTTTGTAGTTGCTGGCATGGATTAAGCAATTTTAAAGGGTTTCCTATTCAAAGAAATGGGATCAATGATTACTTAGCATATTGGGATTTAATTTAAGAAGGGTAGCAAGAAAATCCCATTATTTCATGAAAATATTTCCTACCTACCCATTTCTGCCTCAAATTCTAGCATGAGAACTGTTTTGAGCTAGAGATTGCTGACTTGAGAAGTTCTTTAATGCAGCTACTTTAGGTGTGGGGTATATTTGTGTGTGTTTCCCCCATTTTCAAATATTAAAGTGTTATAAGTTGATATAGAAAATAGATAATTAGCCCAGCTGCTTGGTATAAATGTTGGCTGTCTATATGACACACTTAATCCAGTACCCTAATATAGCAGTTAAAAGTTGAGATTAAATGTTGTTTCTGGGGACGGGGGATAATCCAGTACCCTAATATAGCAGTTAAAAGTTGAGATTGAATGTTGTTTCTGGGAACGGGGGAATGAATGTTCTCAAGATCGTAAGAAAGGACCTGGAAAATCCGTTTGCTCAGATACATCTATTCATTTTTTTAAGACAGCTTATTAGACTTTTAAAATACAAATCCCCATAAGGGTTAAAACCATTTGTTGTTTTAGCATTACATAGTTGTAATGGCTTAAATGGATCTTATGATAAAACAAAAATGTGTTTTAATGCTGTACACCCTTAATATTTTTAAGGTTTTCTTGGAGCAGAAGAAAATGTTAAAAAGTGGTCTTAACATAACCCACTTCAGACAGCATGTTTCTATAATTGAAAAAGAAACACAAGAATACTTTCAAAGTTGGGGAGAAAGTGGAGAAAAAAGTAAGCAAAATGTTTTACATTTGCTCTAATATGTCTTCTTTTCTGTGAATAGAAATCTAGAGTATGTATGCATGTAGCATATATAAAACAAACCATAATGTATGTAAACTACCTTGCATTTAATGGATGAAACATGTTATGACTACCATAGAGCTGTAATTGAGAATCCAGTCTTTACACTGGACTGCAGTAAGTATTGCTTTCAGAGGCAATTGCTCTGCCTATAGTAGGAAGTAACATCTGTCCAAAGGGTGGTAGGATTCAGGGCAGCAGGTCACCACATTCTTACTCTGGCCTTTAGCTTCTATAAAAGGTCCAGAAACTTTATTTTTATTGCACTTAAAGATGGTGTGATATATTTTCTAACCATACAATAAGATGAAATGTAAATTAGAATACCAGTTTAATAGATACATGTGGGACACATTATAGCACCAAGAAGACCAGAATATTTGCTGACCTTCATTTTATTGGCAAATCTAATTGGGAAGCCAGATGATAACTGGAAGTTTATTTGGTGAATGTGGCATTAAACAATGGGGAATTAATTGGATAATTTTTATGACTTAAGTGTCATCAAAGTATACTTGCCTGATACATCTGTCTCCAGTGGTGGGATATATAAGTTGGTGACTAGTTACAGTTTCCTTTTGTATCTAGCTGAGAATTTAGTTTTTAGTCCTGATCTTCCTACGTTTGAGCTGGGAAATAATCTGATTATCAGTTGTTGGACTGCCATTCCTTGGGATGTATTGTCCTCATATGCACTATAAATAAGCTTTTTGTTGATTTTGATATGCTATGATCTGGGAATTGGATAACAACATTTACTTTTATCTTCATTTTAGGTTTTGAGATGCCTTTGTAGCATCTGTTTTGGCTGTCTAGAGGGGCAAGGTGCATCCCATAATTTGGTTTATTGCCTCTCTTCAGTGTTGTACCTAGCCACATAGCTGTCTATAGATTTTTTTGATTATATGAATAGGATCTTGTTTGCAAGTTTTTCTTCTCAATTTTCCTTTACTTTTTGGAAATAGTAATGAGAATGATCTTCTCTCCTCCACAGATTTGTTTGAAGCTCTTTCTGAGCTTATAATTTTAACAGCCAGCCATTGTTTACATGGAAAAGAAATCAGAAGTCAACTTAATGAGAAGGTGGCACAGTTGTATGCAGATTTGGATGGAGGTTTTAGCCATGCAGCCTGGCTATTACCAGGTTGGCTGCCTTTGCCTAGTTTCAGGTATGGATGAAGAAAGTATTACACTTGGTTGCTTAATTTGTATAATTGCTATAGTGTTGGTATACTATGCCTTAACAAAGACAAAAATTGAACAGTTAAAACATACAAATTGGGAAAGATTATGAATCTCTATTCTTCTATAAGAATTTAAGACATTTTCTTTATATAGTGAGCTTATTTAAAGTACATTTTAGTTTATTAAAAGGGTGATCTATGGTCTCTCTAGTCTATTATTTTAAAGCCTACTTATCTCACATATGCATACTTAGGAGGGTCTCTGAACTACCTAAAAGTGGCACATTCCTTTTCTAAGCACTTGTTTGAAAGTCTTTAATGGTTTTGTAGTGTATTGTGAATTTTCTTTCTTTTGAATATTTGTGCCTTTACTTAATTTTCTGTCTCTTTATGCCGGCTGTACTATGATTTTCTTAAGGGTAGGAACCATCTCTGATACAAGAAATATTGCTCTTAGGACTCACTGTCTTTCATATCATTAGGCTTTCTGTACCTTTGTTGATTCATTTGTATTCGGTTAAGAGATAGGAGGAGTTAAATTGTTACTCCATTTTCCTTCTATTTCTGCCCCCTCTAATGAGTTACAGAATAAAAGAGGGGTGAGTAGATGGGAGAGCCAAGAGAAGTTCTCTAAAGTTCTCTGGAACTCATCATACCTTATATATGAAAGGAGCGTTATAGTTTCAAAATATTGTTGTATGTATTAGACACCCAGAGCAGTCCTTGGTCTATAGTGGAGTCTCCATTAATGTGTATCGAACCTTTTTCCATCTGCCCTATCTCTAGGATAAAGTCAAAAATTTTAAGCTTGGTATGATAAGCCCTTCACAGTCTCACCCAGTGTTTTTCTGTTTTACTCTTTTTTTTTTAATTTAAATTTTTTTATTTTAAAGATGTGGGGTACAATTCAGAGTTAGGTATACAAATGTTCATTATGTAGGTACCCTTGTTGATAAGGTGTGACCCCTTCACTTTCCCAGGCAGACTCCCACTACTGCCAATCCCACTTCCCCACCCCCCTTCCGGCAGTTTCCTTCTACTGCCAATCCTTTTTTATAGTCTTATAGTAATTGTTTATGGTCTGGTTATGAGTGACAACATGTGATACTGAGATTCTATAATACTGAGTGATCTTTCACAGAAAGAACTGAGTATCACATGTTCTCACTCATAAGTGGACCTTGAACAATTGTCATATAATACTGAGTGATTTTTCACAGAAACAAAAAACTACGTACATCCAGGTTGCTGTGAAGTTCATGATTTTGTTCTTCTTTATGGCTGCGTAATATTCTGTCGTGGATATCTACTACATTTTTTTTAATCTAGTCCTTTTTCGATGGACAACACAGTTGGTTCCATGTTCTTGCTACTGTGAACAATGCTGCGATAAACATACGTGTGCAGGTATCTTTTTTATAGAGTGATTTGAGTTCTTCTGGGTATATTCCCAGTGTGGGGGGATTGCAGGATAGTATGGAAGGTCGATTTTTAGATCTTTCGGGAATCGCCACACTGTTTTCCACAGAGGCTGTACTAGTTTCCACTCCCACCAGCAGTGTAGAAGTGTTCCCTTTTCACTGCATCCTCTCCAGCATCTGTTGTTTTTTGTTATTGATGATAGCCATCCTGACTGGAGTTACATGGTTATCTCAGTGTAGTTTTAATTGCATTTCTTTGATGACTAGTGAGTCTAAGCATTTTTTCATGTATCTGTTGGCTGCTCATTGTCTTCTTTTGAGAACTGTCTATTCATATTTTGCCCACTTTGTAATGGGGCTGTTTTTTTCTTTTCGGTACGTTTGAGTTCCTTGTAGATCCTAGATGTTAGGCCTTTGTCAGACATACTGTTGGCAAATATTTTTTCCCAGTCTGTAGGCTCTCTGTTCTCTTGATGGTTTCTTTGGCTTTGCATAAGCTTGTCAGTTTGATGAGGTCCCGCTTGTCTATCTTATCTCTTATGGCATATGCACTTGGGATTTTGATCAGGAATTGGTTGCCAGTTCCACTTTCCATAAGGGTGTCTCCTGCATTTTCTAAGGTTCTTATGGTTTGTGGTTTCACATTTAGCTCTTTGATACATGTAGGGTTGATTTTTGTGTATGGTGATAGGAAGGGGTCTTGTTTTAATCTTCTGCATGTAGTCAACCGTGTTTTACTCTTAGCACCTGATTTAACCAGATAATTTAATTCACGTTCTCAAATCAACCTTATGTTTTCCTGTATTCATACTGTTAAGCTTCAACATCTTCCTGTCGGTACATATAATGTCAGTTGATTCTCAATAAAGGTCTTGTAAATAAGCAGAGCAGGAGTTTTTATTAGAAGGCTTGATTGAAGTGGATGCTTAGGAATCATTGGTTTTAAATCCTAGCTCCAGTGCTATCTAGCTGTAAATTGAGGTTAATATTATTTGCCTCACAAGAAGTGGGTAATTCATGTAAAACACTTAATGTAGAATCTGCTACATGGGGAGCATCCTAAATATTTAAAGGTAAAATTTTAGGAGTTGAAGCTTGTTTTCTGAATCTACTAGATTTTGCCCCCTGAAAAATTATGCTGTATTAGAAAATGGAAAGTTGAGTCAAATCCTGTAGAAGAACCAGAGTGACTCTCCTGCTTTAAGACTTAATTTGGTGTTAAAATTAGAATCTCATGTTAATTCAAGTATTGTACTTTATGCTGAACTAGAAAATGCATCTAAATCTTGCTTGTTTTAGGCCTATAGTTTGAACATAGGTAATGTATTAGGAATCTGGAATATATATATTAAGACACAGTTCTTGCCATTGGGGACTGTGGAAATTTTTAACATGGCTTATTTTTTTTTCTTGGTTCTGATTTTTAAAAAAATTGTTTTAGAGTCATTCAAGTTTGTTAAATAAGGTTGCTTTATGCTAGGTCTTGGTTCTCAAAATGAATTTGATCTACATTATATTGCTTTATTTTAAAAAATCATTTTTATCTTTGGGTTACAGACGCAGAGACAGAGCTCATCGAGAGATCAAGAATATTTTCTATAAAGCAATCCAGAAACGCAGGCAGTCAGAAGAAAAAATTGATGACATTCTTCAAACTTTACTAGAGTCTACATATAAGTAAGAGCTGTTCAGATCACCTATTAAACTGGAACGGGAAATTTCACATTAAAACATAGCTAAATAGTATTTTCAGTTTTAAAAATGATGTTGGCAAAATAAGTTGATAACTTAGACCTTTGGACTTTTCAAATTGTTGAGATATAAATTACTGGGATTGCATGTTTTCCTATAATCTCAATGACTGGGCATGGTGAAAGTTTAATAAACTAATGAAGCTTTCATATTCAAAGTCATGTTTTCTACTGGTCTGTCTTTTCCCTAAAACGAAAAATAAAAACTCTGAATTGTGGTAGACAAATGCAAGAGACTACTGTACCCCAAAAATGTATTCATTATGATACTTTATGTAAAGCTTGAGGTGTGAAATGTATCTACTGAAATGTTAAATATGTGTGTATGGTTCATTCCTTAGGGATGGGCGTCCTTTGACAGATGAAGAAGTAGCAGGGATGCTTATTGGACTACTATTGGCAGGGCAGCATACATCCTCAACTACTAGTGCCTGGATGGGCTTCTTTTTGGCCAGAGACAAAACATTTCAAGAAAAATGTTACTTAGAACAGAAAACAGTCTGTGGAGAGGATCTGCCTCCTTTAACTTATGACCAGGTTTGTTGGATTTTTCCATTTCATTGCTACCTTAAACTTTGAGTATCTGTGGCTAATTTTTAGAAGGAACAGTTAGAGGTTTTCTACATACTTGCTTAAACAGATTATCTTCTCTATTTTTAGCAAATTCCCCATAACCTTACCTAAAATATCCAAATGTTAATGCTTTTTGTTGTTAAACTTTATCAGATATGTTTCATGTTGATGCCTTAGAGATCCTTGGGGATTTTGGTCCTCTGTTTCAAAGTCTGCCTTCCATAGATAGAGGATATTATGTATGTGCTGTGTGTATCAAGTGCAGAGCCTCCGAATTACTTAGAATTCTGCATGTCCATAATGACCTTTGCAAGAGTAGAGACTTGGGTAGTGGAAGATAAAGGGGACTAGAAATTTATAAATACTATACCCAGCATTCACTGCACAACTTGATATTTCCTCTTAGAAACAAACCCTGGTCCTATATTCTTCCTGTTATCTTTTTTTTGGTCTTTTATTAATGTGTTGTCCTACATTGATTTTCAGATGTTAATTATATTCCGGGGACAGATCCTATTTTGTCATAGTGCACAGTCCTTTTTATATGTTGCTTGATTCAGTATTTTGTTGAGGGTTTTTGTATCTATGTTCATGAGGCATATTAGCTCCAGTTGATATTGCCACCTCAAATACCTGCAATGTTAAACACTTTCTGCCAGTTGTTTTTGACTGGCTCCTCTAGTAGTAGTTAGGCTTGCTTTTCACAGCTACTGTAGTTGCAGTGCTGTCTATTCAGCATTTGTCTTGGGAGAGGAGGAGGAGAAAAGTACACTACCACAAAGCTTGCTCATCTCATCAAAATTCAGGTTTCTTTTTCTCGACTTAACTCCTTATATTGTTGTAAGCCTTTGGTTAATTTTCTGGAGTTTTGAGAAAGTTAACACTGAGTTTTTTGCTAATGTTCTCATTTTTGGGGGAAGTGACTTTTTATAGGTCTTTACTGTGCCATTCTTCGGGATGATTGCCTCTCTTCCTGTTATCTTGCGCTTCCTTTTTCCCCTTGTTGACTGAGGACAGTGATAGAGCATGATAATCTCAGCCACCCTGTACTTTTATCCAGAATGCAAGCTGGCATCTACTAACCAAGAAGATAAACTATTTTTTTGGTTCTGTGGAAGTATGTTAAATATATATAAAAATCAGGAAATGCTTTCTCTTTTTAGCTCAAGGATCTAAATTTACTTGATCGCTGTATAAAAGAAACATTAAGACTTAGACCTCCTATAATGACCATGATGAGAATGGCCAAAACTCCTCAGGTGAGTGTCTTGGCTAGATCTCCCTTTTGCACCTCCAGTTTTTACTTATCAAAAAGAGGAATAGAATATCACGAAAGATAATTTTTTGATTTAAAAAGTGGAATAATCTTCCCTTCTAAATACTCAATTTTTCATATTCTAGATATATATTTTTACATAATTGCAGATAGTATATACATGCTAATTTATTTATTTAAATGATATTTTGTTATAGAGATGTGGGGTACAAGGGAGGATTTACTATATAAGGTGAAGGTGAAGGTTGGGCTTCTGACTGGCCCTTAAACTTCTCCTGATAGAGGACCAGGTATACTTGTGTTGTCACGTGCCCCCCTACATGCTAATCACGCTCTGCATTTTTATTCAACAGTTGGGTTTTTCAAATGAAAGTATTTTGTTTTCTTGGTTTTAAATTAAAGTAACATGTTTTGTTGTAGAAAATTCTAATAGTATAAATCAGATTGTGAAAGGCTCCCTGAAGTTCCAGCCCTAACTCCAAGACTTTTTAAGTATGATTTATGTACTGCATACTTCCAATCTAACATTGGCTCCCTTGGAAATTGTCTTGAGTTAAAATATTTTTTAGTTGGCCTGTCATCTAGCCAGTTTTTAAATATAGGTACACATGGTTCTTGACTTTCTTACAGTTTTTCAGCATTATAATTGGTTTATCAGGATGTAACCCCATCGTAATCTTAGGAGCAACTGTATATCTTATGTATATTAATGCTTTATTGCACAACGATCTGTTGGGTAGCATATTTTAAAATTCTCTAATGAGATGTATTGCTTTCATTTATAGACTGTGGCAGGATATACCATTCCTCCCGGACATCAGGTGTGTGTTTCTCCCACTGTCAATCAAAGACTTAAAGACTCATGGGTAGAACGTCTAGACTTTAATCCTGATCGCTACTTACAGGATAACCCAGCATCAGGAGAGAAGTTTGCCTATGTGCCATTTGGAGCTGGTAAGATGATCACATTTCAGATTTGAAATGTTTGTGCTAGTATTTGTCCCTGCAAAATAATAATCCATGCGTATTTTATTTATAGATATCCCTCCCTTTCCTCATAGGGACATTCCTGCAAACTTTCGTAGAAGTAGAATCTTTGTAAATTCGAAAAAAATATTTGTACTAAATGGTATTATTCTGTGAATCATTATATAATGTTCAATTTTTAAAAATTGGTCATGTGTGGTGATGCACGTCTGTGATCCTAACTACTCAGGAGGCTGAGGCAGGAGGATGTCTTGAGCTTGAGAGTTTGAGGCTATAGTGACTAAGATTGTGCCACTGCAGTCCAGCCTGGGTGACAAGAGTGAGACTCTGTCTCTAAAAAAACTTAAAAATAAAAAAAAAATTAAAGCTTTTCTGGATTATTTGTCAACATCTTGGCTCTCTGTAAATATCCTTATGATAAAATGGTCTTTAAATATGAGCAGGTTGTGTATAGGTTTGCAAACTTCATTTCCAGTAAGATCCTAAGATAATTTAGGTAGACCTTGTTCCTCCCATAATTCATCTGTTAGTACTCTGTAACAGATTAAACTGTAGTCTATGACTTTGGTCTTTCCAAACGGATCATTTAAGTGATAGATGACTTTTTTGCCATTGTTCACACTTTTTCTACATATTAAGGAAAGTATAAAGTCCTTTGGGAACTTCAGATCTTAACCTCATTTAAGAAGTAAATTTAATATGGTGGTATATATGTAAAAGTCACAGATTGTAAACAATTAGAGTGGCATTTAGCTCTGTAACCCAAATTCTTCCCCAAAGAAGAATCATTCCTAAACTGGGAATTGTCTGGCTTCTACTTGTATTTCACTGGAAATGGGTTGTGGGTTGCTCAGTTATTTTATATGCAGCTTGTTCCATTTTTAGACAAGTGTCATTGTTAGACCTATATATTAAGGCTGAAATATGTTTCCTTATAACATCCCATTTATGGTTATCTATGTCTCTGAAGTTATACTGTATATCTGTGAGATGTTTGAGTGCAGATATAATGTATCTTCCGTCTTTTTTTCAGTCATTGTATTAGTTCCCAAGGACTTCCATTACCACAGCCTAGGTGGCTTAAAATGGTAGAAAGTTACTATCTAGACTTTTGGAGGATGGAAGTCTGAAATCAAGGTGCTTCCAGGCCCACATTCCCTCCGAGTTTCTGCAAAGGAATCCTTCCTTACCTCCTGCTTCTGGTGACTCTTGGCAGTCCTTAGTCTGTACCTACATCACTACAGTCATTGCCTCTGTCTTCAACAGGCTTCTTCTTTATGGTGTCTCTGTGTCTTCATGTGGCCTTCTAGGACACTAGTTATTAGATCTAGGGCCTGCCATATTAACTCAGCATGATTCATCTTAATTAATTACATATACAAAGATCCTGTTTCCAAATGAAGTAATATTCTGAGGTTCTAGGTGGGCTTGAATTTTGGGGAGAGGATATCCAATTATCACGTTAAATATTTTCTTAAATATCTCCAATTTATTGATCCATTCTTTTACTTTTATGCTGTTTATGTTGGTGCATGTAGTTTGTAGGTCACTCTTTTTTTTTTTTTGAGTCAGCATTTCACTATGTCGCCCCAGGCTGGGGTGCAGTGGCACACTCATGGCCACCACAGCCTCGACCTGCTGCACTCAAGATGATCCTTCTGCTTCAGCCTTCCAAATACCTGGATCTATAGGTGCGTGCCACCATGCCCAGCTAGTTTTTAAATTTATTGTAGAGACAAGGTCTCACCATGTTGCCCAGGCTGGTCTCAAACCTGTGGGCTCAGGCGGTCCTCTTGCTTCAGCCTCCCAAAATGCTGGGATTACAGGCTTGAAGGTCACTCATTTTCATAACATTACATTTTGTGAATCATCAGAATTTATCTATGTTGATTCAATTAGGATACTTCTAGTTTGTTGCTATTAATAATCATCCTTTAGGCCCAGGCATGGTGACAAATGCCAGTAATCCCAGCACTTTGGGAGGCCATGGTGGGAGGATCGCTTGAGGCCAGGAGTTCAAGACCAGCTTAGACAACAAAGCAAGATCTCATTTATATAAAAAATAAATTAGCCAGGCATGGTGAGCACACCTATAGTTCCAGCTACTCAAGAGTGCCTGTGCCCAGGTTGAGGCTATGGTATGTGTGATTGTGCCACTGTACTCCAGCCTGGGTGACAGAGTGAAACTCCCAAATAATAATAAAACTAAAATAGAAATCATCTTCTATTCTTCTTGTAAGCCAACCTTCTCTTTAGTTGCTGTATTTGAATATGGAGCAATTTATAAATGCTCTTCTTAAATTTGGCTTCTAGAATTAAGCACATGCAGTTACAGGCAAAGCAAGCACTGTGCTAATCACTCAGTGTCTAAAAGTCTTTGTCTAGCCCCAAGTCATGAAGATATTCCCCTGCTCTTCTCTGCTAAAATTTGGTTCTTTTAGCACTTAGTTTATGATTCATCTCAAATTAATTTTTGAGATGTTAACTGATGTTAATCATTAATTGAATGGTTCTATTAAATCTAATGGCATTTGAACCATTTTTTAATAGTTTTGATACTTACTACATAAATGTGCTTTAAGGGAACTCATTAGTTAAAAAAATTGTTCAGGGGGTCTAGGTAATTGGCAGGTTCTAAATAATACAGTTTCTTTCAACACTGGACATAACTGGTCAAAGAAAATAATCATTATTAGTGTGAGATACGAATTTAATTCCACTTCTTCCTTGTGAAGCACCTAGTTACTCTACCACCATAGGTTGAAAAGACCTCATTTTCCCCATTGGTCTGCTTTAGCATCTTTGTTAATAATCAAATAACCATAAAAATATTCTGTTGGGAGCTCTCTGCTCTGTTCCATCAATATATTTGTGGATATTTATCTAGTACCACACTGTCTTGGTTGCTGTACCTTTAGTCTTGAAGTCAGATTTGAAGTCAGTTTAATTCCTCCAGCTTGGTTCTTTCTCAAGATTGCTTTGGGTATCTTAGATCCTGGGCATTTTAGAATCAGCTTATGCTTCTTCATTTGGTCACCTTTTAAATTTTGATCTCAATATGTTTTCATTAAATCCCTTCTTTCATAATCATTTGTTATGGCATTGAAGTTTTGATTAGAAGATTCTCATATTGACTTTTAACTGGGCTCTCTTGGGACAGAAACTAAGAATATTCTATTCCCAAACTAGACTACCATTTTATAATTCAAACCTTCCAATATAACCCAGATATATATTAAGTTCCAAAAAAAGTAATTGGAAAAGTCACTTTATTATGATTAGCCAAGTTTTGTTTTCCTAAAAACTGAAGTTGAAAATCTCTTGGGATTTTAAATTAATATTTACATTCCTTTTTTTATGTGAAAAGAAAATCATCTTTTTATAATACTATCTGTATATCTGATCATCTAAAATGTAGATAAATAAATGTTACCACTCCAGATTAAAAAGAAGTGAGAAAGAATTTAAACTGATTTTTATAAAAACTTTTTTCTTTTTTTATAGGGCGCCACCGTTGTATTGGGGAAAATTTTGCCTATGTTCAAATTAAGACAATTTGGTCCACCTTGCTTCGTTTATATGAATTTGATCTCATTGATGGATATTTTCCCACTGTGAATTATACAACTATGATTCACACCCCTGAAAACCCAGTCATCCATTACAAACGAAGATCAAAAGAAAAAGACTGCAAGGAACCAATATGATACATCATAAGCTGCAAAAGCATTTGAAGAGAATGACGTTTATGAAACGACTCTTATAGTATACTGTTTTTATGAGTGTGTAATTTTAAAGCCAATTTAACTTCTGATTTTAATACCTTATTAACTGAAGGTTCTATCAAACCTAATGACATTTAAACCATTTTTTAATAGTTCCATACTACATAAATGTACTTTAAGGAAACTCATTAGTTAAAAAAATTGTTCAGGGTATCTAGGTAATTGGCAGATTCTAAATAATACAGTTTCTTTCAACACTGGACATAACTGGTCAAAGAAAAGTCATAAAATTTCCAGATAGTAATTTTAAGAACATATGTAGCTCTTTGCAAGTAAGTTCAGGGTATTCAAATCTTGGACTAATTCTGCAAGATATAAAAAAAATAAAAGTCCAGAGAGATACTTGGAAACCATAGGCTATCAATTATCTGGGCAATTTGTGTGTGTGTGTGAGTGAGAGAGAGAGAGAGAGCGCACGTGCGAGCATGGGAGGTTAGGGAATAAACTCACATCTAAAGCTTTGAGTAAGAGAATACTAACTGGTTTAGTATGATGATACTCAGAAGTGGAGATACAGAGAAAAGTATATATCCTTTGAAATTTTAACTGAAAGCACTTCCTATAGGAAATTGAGATCTAGGACCATACTGAACAATAGTTTCTGAAAACAATGTAACTATTAGATCTAATTACTAAAATACTATGTATTATAAATAAGTATCTGGTTCCACAAGCTCCCATCTGCGTAAAAGTCCAAAAGAAAGTCCTTAGGGCCTGATTTTGCTTCTCTTCTTTGGCTCAAGGTTGTTCCCCATTTCCTCTCTAGAATCCAATTAAGGATGCTTCTGCTACTAGTCCTGTTGATTAAAACAGTTAACAAACTTGTAAAAAAAAAAAAAATGTATATATATATATATAATGTGTTATCAGGAATATCTGGCTTTAAGATAAGGTAATATGAAGCAGGGTCCTTGGGAATAATAAAATTGGTCACATTCTATAAACTCTGTGTTCAGGAATCCCCTTATGTCAAATTATAACTGGAGGCCTGACATGAGACACCTATGAGGCAAAAATATTTTCTCTTAAGTATATTAGAGTTGTATTTAAAAGACTGGAAGACTCATGTTGAACTCTAACTGTGATGGCAAAGTCTGCTGTTAGACAATTTTTCACATTAAAATTCTCTTTGAATAAAAAAGTCTGTATTTATGAATTATATGTGGGGAAGGGGACATCTTTATTTGTACTAATTTGTAATTGCAATTTAGTATTTCCTTTATTTACGAATTCAGGCAACAAACCACATTGTTTAGCATTACCTGTGATTTTGTCAACAGAAATTTCAGATCTTTTCATATTATGTTATAGATGTTGCAGATAGATCTCTTATTCCCAGATAGAAAGTACCTTTTTTCCCATCACTACTTTGAAATTATGGTAGTTATTAGACCTATTGCTAGGTCTTATTTGATATTTTAATTTTATGTATATCACAATTTTTAAAAGTTAACTGGTGTCCTTTGCAATCTTGTTTATTTGATGTCTTTAAAAGCATTATTCTGAGAAGAGATCCCCAGTCTCACCAGACTGCTGGTGAGATTGATGACACAAAAAAGTTAGTAACTCGAGGTAAGACTAGTCTGTTTAGTGAATAATTTGCTTTAGTCTGTAACATTTAGTTTTTAATCACAGACTAATTATTGAGAAGCATGAACAAGTGATTGCAGAGGCTTAATATTACAAGGAGGTCTGATGGTCAAACAGGAGTGAAATCAGCTTGATTAGAGAATTTGTCCATCTGCTCTTTCTCCATTGTCAGAAGAGTCTTGAATGGCAAGTCCTCCCTGCTAGCTGAGAAAGGCTTTTGCCCATGATTTTCCCCTTCAACTAACTGCTTTAGAATACCTTTATTTCTAGAACTTCTCTTACTAGAACCTAGCTGCTAATAAGGGAAACTTAAGTATAGTTGGCCCCTGGTATCTGTGGGTTCTACATGCTTAGATTCAACAAACTGGACAGAAAGTTATTGAAAAAAAAAAATTAAAAGCCAATACAACAATAAAAAATACAAATAAAAGAACAATATATTATATCAACTACTTACATAGCATTTATATTAGATTTTATAAGTAATCTAGAGGCAATTTAAAATATAAGAAGAATGGATGTACATAGGTTATGTGCAAATACCATGCCATTTTATGAGAGACTTTGGCATTTAAGGGGAGTCCTGGAACCAATCCCTTGTAGATACTGACGAATGACTAATTGGAAATTTTCAAGAACATACAACTTGCTAACATTCCTGTGTGTGCTGGTATAAGTCATAATATGACAAAATCCTCTGGATATAAGTATCAAACACTACTCTTCTTGCTGTGTTATTAAGCTGCCATGATGTTGGGAGCCAGCCATGTAGACCCACTGAGCGTTAGGGATCAGGATGGGCCGTTGACCCTGAGACCACTAGGCTGCGTTTGGGAGCTATTGACTCCATTTCCTCCCCCTTTCTACTCAGCACTAACCAGATTAAGCTCCTGTGAGCTCAAAACATAAAAACTCTGAGACCGGGACGAACATAAGCTAACTTTAGAAGCTCATTGCTCCCATTCTTCCACAAACTGCAGTTTTGGCTTTCACACAACTTACAATTCAAACTCGTGTCACAACTAAGAGCCTTAGTATTGGTCACAGGCTTCTGGGTCATGATCTGAGGATTTACTGAAGGTGTAAATTGTAGAATATAGTTTTAGAAGACAGCCATTTTGTTGAAAGAATGCGGCTGGGTTACTTGCAGGTAGCCCACTGTGAACTTTGGACTGGGCCACATTCCAAACATTCTCGGATGGGTCACTTTTGTTTGTAAAGTAAATACTTAAGCTTCTATAGAATTGTTTAACTTGGCATAAATCAATCAGCTTAGGACAAAAAAGGTTTATAGAATATGTCAGTCACAGATTAGGTTATCCTTTGTTATGGGATTTTAAGATTATCATATGAAAAGGGTTTAAAGGCAATCATTGATTAAGTTTTCATGGATTAAGGTTTCTGGTGGGTGGGGGACGCCCCTCCCACATCTGACTTTGTGTATAAAAGACCTGTTGTAATTCCCAATAACACACATCACTTCTTCACTGGACTGGAGTCCAGTCTCTTTCTTTCTCTCTCTCTCTCTCTCTCTTCTTTCCCCCAATCGCCGATGCCGTCTCCACCTTTGAGGTACCCTGAACCTGGTTGGAGCTGGTCTCCGGCACCATGTTATCGAGGAGACTCCAGATAAGAAATTAACATTGAGATTTGTATTTTCTCTGTGAGAGCTTCCCAATCTGCATTTACTTGGAAAGCAGGAATACTGTTTAATCCTGCTGTAATGTGATTAAGAACTTTTGGTTAAATTATTTCTGCATCTTCTTAGTGGGCCATGGATTTGTGAGGACACATTTTTGGATACAAGCAACACTAAATATAACTGAGTAAATAAGGATTAAACATGAAATACCAATATAGCTTTTAAAAAAACATTATGTAAACATAAAGTTGATACAAAGGCACACAGAAAACTTCCTCAAAGGAGGGAGAGAAAACCCTCAGCAGTGTCTAAGATTAGGACAACCTTCTGAATTCCTAAATCCTACATATTTGAAATAAGTAACGAGAAGATATGCACCAAAAATTATGGTTCAGTTAAAAATGAAGAAGGTTCAAATGCAGTGTGGTGAAAATGGTGAAGCCATTTTTATTTCAGTACCTGACAAAATACCTCATAAAATTCAAAACTTCTACCATTATACAAAAATAGGTCTCTACAAGTGATATCTGTCTTCATCACCAGTAGCAAATATATTAGGCAGAAACATGTAACTTCAGTAGCCTTATAAGAAAAGCAAGACACCTCAAGCTACACATTCAGCAGTTACCATAATGCACAAAAGTTTAATCTTTTTACCCACTGATAAATACATGAGGCTTATAATTTAATGTTTTAAATTATCATTCCACAAATATACATGTAATTCAATGATTATTGTGCATGAATACACACACAATGCTTATATGTACAAATTCCAGTTTGTTGTCATGTGCTGGCAAGGGATTTGAATACAATCATAAGCTGTGTTCATATTGGTCCCATTGAATATTCACAATACAAAAGCACAAAAGAACCGTTGATTTACAAAAGGAAGTTAGTTTAAAATCACTTCAATCAACGATGTTTTCAAAGGACTATCTTCTCATGCCAGCATGAAACTGAGTAGTTGAACCTACGAAAGAAAAGCAAGACATTTAAATGATTTCAGTTTAGGTTTCTACTTCTATCAGACTAGAGTTTACTCAAAGCAGGAGATTACTATTAGTCTCCATTTTTTCAAAAAGTGACTTTGTTCTTTGAAATGTCATATTCTACTTGAACTTATTTGTAAAAGAGATTTTGGATGTGTATTTAAAAGTCACCATGACTGACTCTAAGTAAGACTAATGTTAAGAGTTTCTGTATAGTGCTCTGAAGGTTGAATATTCTATACCTTATACATTTTGAAACATCTTGTGGTCTTGTGATGCCAAAAAACCCCACCTCAGCTATGATAATAAGTCTATGACTACCAGTTGATTGGATTAAATAAATTATTTGTTGAATGAACAGATAAACTACTAATTTAAAACAACCTGTTATAAGCCTATAGTTTATAGGACTGATAGGAAAAAAGGGTCCTTAATAAAGAGTAAAATTCTCTGGATCAGAAGTGAATTGAAAGGATCGGGGAAAGAGGCTTTCCTACAATGAACAGCAAAGCCACCTCTATTTTGCTGTATGAATTTTTTTGTGTATGTTTTCTTTATTGTAAAGATGTGGAGTATAAGTCATTTGTGTATGTTTTTGAACAAACACAAATAAAGAATCATTCTTACAAAGTCTTTTAAATGGGATAGTTTTTTTGGATCATACAGAAAAGTACAATGTAGTAGCAGTAAGTGCTTAAAGCAATTGCTTCCTGCCTCTTCTCCCAACACCTGATGGGAATGCCTTGCTACTTTCTATCATGTACTACTAAGGAACATGTTCTCCAACAGGCTCTATAGTCTCAGAGTACTTTGCACATGGGTGCTCATCATGCATTCTGTCTGATCAATCTGCTGAATGAAGAAGTGGCAAATCACTGTTGGGGGGAGTGGGATCCTGGGTGATAACTCATGTCTTGACTTAAATTCTTTAAAGTCAGTTTCTCTGCTGGTTATACAGAGTTGAAGCTCTGGCAGACTTGGGAACTCATGAACTAAACTGGAAGATTTAATCATACTAATGACGAGGGCCAAGGAGTTGATAAGAAAGGGGAGCTGTGAGTCTAGTATTACAGGGCTGACAATATGTGGTTAAACTCAGAGCACCTGACTGTACAGTTCCAAGTCGTCTTTGCAGTGCCTCTAGCCGAGTGATATAATCTGTCAGGGCTCTGTCAGGATCATAATTCTGAAGCTGAGAACACGCTAGAGAAGCAGGATTTAAGTCAGCTGGAGTGCCTAGGTACCTAAAGGATTAAAAATATGTACATGAATCCAAATGATACAGAAACAATGCAAGCAAGTAACCAAACTGCCTCTGCTCCCCTCCCGGAAATGGCAGGCTGCTTGGCAGGCTGCTTGTACGTTGCTTAATCTATATCCCACATGCTTCTGAGTTTGTGACGAGAAAGAAATAACTCTTCAATGAACTTAAGCTACTTAAGACATAAGAATGTCCAGTACAATGCATAAGTCCTCAGTAAATGCTGGATATGTATAAATGCATTGTCCCTCAGATTGTACAGTTTTTCATAATGGTTAAAGACTATTCATTTTAGTCAATACTTTTCCCAATGTCCAACCACAGCATATGCTAAATAACACACAGACAGCTTTGTTTCCTACATCCTTGGAAGCCAGTTACAAATTCAAAAACAAGTTTTGATCCTGAGCCTTAGATTATGTAGATTATTCACAGCTAGATGTCTAGCTATCTCAATGCAAAACAGTCAAAGCCCTAACAATGTCTACCTTTCTTTGTTAGATATTAATATATGTAACTATTCAAGGGAGGTTTTCTCAAATTGTTACCTATTTTGAAATGGTAGAGGAGACCTTGGATAGTCCAGATCTGATCTTGAACGATATGTGGTATGTCTCGGTTCTCCATATAGCTCTAGTCCACCAGAAGAATGATAAAACGAGTCAGTCTTTTTAGCACCTGAAGTAATCCAAAATTTAGCTCATGAAGAAAAAAAAATTCCAAGATTTTGAAAAATTTCTAAGAACAGGTGTGGCTCAAAAGACCATACTGCATTATACTACGCCATCTCATATTTATAGTCACTTTTAATTATTCTTACTAAAAGAGAAAAACAGTATTAACAAAAATTGGTTTTCAAATGTTATTTGGTTTACTTTTGAATACTGAATTTCTGAAATTGGGACTATGCCGCAAAAGAAAACTATTAATTGAAGTATTTTCTTTTTAAAAGACTTCTTAGCTATAACTAGATGAGAGGTAAGAAGTAGAGTATATGTGGCATGTGGGAAATGATGCGGATAAAAATATTAGACTAATATAACCACCATACTCTACTAACTTGAAATCAAGTTTTGCTAACTTTTAGTATACAACACAGCTCATTATGGCACACATTTCAGCTGTTTCAGTATAACATATTTAAAATACTGTGCTTAGATACCAAATATACTTCCCCTTTCTCTGCTGCTCAGTTACTGGCAGAATATGTAAAGGTGGTTTAACAACAATATGCAGCTATGTCTCTGTAACCACGTGCTCCCCAGCTTCTGACCTCAGCTTTACGCCTGAAATGTTTAAGCTATAGCTTGTTTCGTCTTCTAGGTGTAGAGAGAAGGAATCTTAACTGTTACTGTTATTGTACAACCTATTGGTAAACTCACTTCAAACCATAACCCTTCCCCATAACTAACAGCAATCCTGTCTTGAACAGAAAGAGAATGGGCAGTCCTAAGGAGAATGGGCTCTGGAGTCAGACTGCTAGTGTTTGACACTGGTCCCTATTGGGCAATATGGAGCAAATGGCATGTACATTCCATACCCCTGTTTTTCATCTGTAAGTGAGAATATTAACAACTATACACACATCACAGAATTTCAAGAATACACGAGAAGAGCAGGGCCTGGTACAGACTGAGTGTTCTATAAAAACCAGCTCTTATTCCTTTCTTAACAGTGTGGTCCCCAGCTTTGTTAGTTATAAGGGCTGTCTTTAGACAATACTGGCTCCAGAATTCATTATTTGGAAAGTATTACACATGCAGTAACTTTACAGAGTCATAAACATAAGAAAATGAACTATTTTTAGTTCACCTTGATTCAATCCAAAGCCATCCCTGTTAATATTGATGGAACCAGAACTTGTGACTCGATGCCACCGTCGAACCAAAAATTTCATTCTAAAAAAGATTCCAAGATAAAATTTCACAACACATCTATAATGTAGAAAATATAAATATATACTTAATATATACTTCCCACAAAATCATCATACATTTAAATATGAAAACAACAAATTTAAATTTCAGTATAATTGTGATTACACGTAAATGCTCCCTGTTTTGTGGCAAACTCAACTGGAACAGAAGACCAGGGTTTCAAGACCCTTCATCCTCTACCGAAGAGGCACCAGAAGTCTCTCACATCACCAGGATCAGGGTCTGGGTGTAGGGATAGATGGGGGAAAAGGGAACTGAGAACAAAGGCAGACAGGAAAAGAGCAGACAAAGGGTGCAGAGCAATGAAAAAGGAAAAGAATGGGGAATGAAGGGGCAGTGAAACAGGAAGAGGACAAAAGGACCCTCCATTGGCAGTAAAAGTGTGCTGAGAAGGCCGGAGAGGGGTAAGGGGCAGAACAACACTGGATTCAAAAGGAACAGAGGTGTCAGCCTGCTTTTGGAATATCAGTTTTCCAGTCAGTTTCAAGATTCAGTCTTAGGAGGGTCAAAATACAATAAATATATATAAGAGGACCAGAAAAAATAGAGTGGTAGAGTAAAATCCTTCAACAGCAACTTTTACACTGGTGTCTTCCCAGACACCTCTAATCAAAACAACTGGCTCGCTCCTGTGGCCTCCCACTCACTCAGTGTCTTCCAAGTACTGGGCATACCGGTCTTCTATACTAGAAGGGAAGTTGCCTTTAGGGATTCAGGCAGAAACTGTAACTTTCTACATCAAGGCATCTCAGCACTTACCCTAGTTTACCCTATACAAGGTATAGGGAATGAAAGGGAATGAAAGATGAGAAAGGAGGAACTGGAACCAGGGGTCTTTAATATGGAAGAGCAGAAGGAAGGAGGTTAGACCCTTAGGCCAACAAGACGAAACCCCAGCTCCTGTTTAGACAGCCAGCAGGGAGACCAGGATGCTTGTCCCAGCTCTATCACTACTGGCTTCATGACCTCTCCTTGCCTCAGCTTCCTCAACTGTGAGATGAAATTCTGGACTAAATGATCTCAGCAGCTTCCAGTTAAAAAACTGTGTCATATTTTTCAAAGGAAAATAAGTGAAGAAAAAGGGCAAAACCCCTTGAAAAAGCATGAGATGTGACCTGACAGCTAGAACTTTAAAAATTACAATTCCTTTCAGACTCTGTCTGATTCCTAGAGAAGTAAAGGAAAACGCATGGAGAAGCCTAGGTATGCACAGCAGCCAGGTTACGGGACTGCAGCAGGCCAGATCCTTGAGGTGGTTTGAGTCTTGGCTTCATTTCAACCACAGAGTTCCTATCTTGCAACTACGAGAGAAAGAATGACAAAAGCTCTGGCAAAGTCCAGTGCCCTAAAGGCTGACCTTCGATCTGAATGCTAATAGGACAGGACATTCCACATCTTGGCACTAAGAGTGGGTTCTTTTAGTAATGAAAATAAATCTATGCAGGCCTGAAGCAATTTGTCAAAAACACTTCTTCACTGGATGGGACAGATCTAAGTCACCAGTTGTCTGCACCTGGGAAGGCCTTTTTCACAGGGTCTACCCAGTACAACATAAAGTATCCCTGCTAAAAGGATGAATAGCTAGAAAGAAGCAAGCATGTTTCAGTAATGGCAGCTGTCTCCTACTATACAGAGTACAGTCAGCAAAGAAGAGGGATGACAAATAGCTAATCCTTTTAGAAAGTCTAATAGTAACATTCATTTTCTTTCAAGTACTTTACCTTGAAATTGCAACCAATACTCTGACAGCTGACCGAAACCTGGTGAAGCCCTTTGGACGGTTGGTGATCATCTCTAGATCGGTGAAGGCTGGCTGTCCTCCCATCCGGGCAAGCAGGGCCAGGGTGGCATCTTCACATTCCTGGAATCCACCCAGTAACAGCAGCAGGTATTTTTTCTGATAAATGAGAGCTTTTCGAAAACTTTCTGCCCTCAGGTATTTACCATAAATTCTCTGTATTTATAGGAGAAAGAATATAAAGACATTAAGAAAATATTCAAAAAATAAAAATAAAAGAAAATATTCAAACTGTTTCCTAGGGGAAAATAATTTACATTTTAATAGCAACAGCAACAAAAATAGTAGTAGAAATAGAATGGCAGGTATACTGTCACTATTTTCTTCTACTTTATCAGCAAAGTTGAAAGTTAAGATAAATTAGACATTTGCCTCTTTTAGTCAATGGAATCTGAATACGAACCTTATAGTTATGCTTTTTATTTGTGCATTTTAGCCCCTATTCATCATATTTATTGCAAATACTTTCATCATCACTTTGTTATCTGAGTATTATTTTAATTGTTTAGAGTTCTATTTTTATTTGGTCACTAATCTACCTTTTTAAACATTAATGTTCTCTGTCCCTTTAGAGTCATATATTTATGTTCCTTCCATCGTTGAAACAAATGTTTCAAAAGTTTTTCATTCTTCTTCTTTTGGATTTTATGTTAACTGATTAAGGTAGTTTTGCCACAAAATTCTTAGTCACTAGAGAGGCTATTCAGAGGGCTTATTATCTTATAGACCATGATGCTCTTACACTGATAGTAGTAGAGCTTTCATTAGGAGTTGAAAAGATGGCATTCTATTAGGGATGAAACTGGGAAGTGGAACCATGGGCTTAAGGGTGCTGCCACTGTGACTGTTAATAGAGCTTCATCTGGTTTCAGTCCTGGGCATACCTTTCCACCAACTTTCGGTGACCAGCTAGAGACCTGTATTCACAACACAGACTGAATAAAAAAGAGACCTAGAGACACAGCCTGAGTGCCACCCAAATTCTGTTCGTTAAGGTTAGTGAGAGATGAAATAAGGCAAAGGCAGAACAAGCTGTGGTATACGTTTAGATATGAGATGTCTCCTACCTTTAATGTGACATGTTCAGAATCAGGGCTCAGATTTTGAAGAAGAGAGTCATTTCTTAGTTCAGTTTTCAGTTTGTACACTTCAGCCTCTGCCCTTTTCAAGGATTTCTGGAGAGTCAACCTTTCTCTGTTCCATACTTCTTTTTCGGAAGCAATGATGGCTTCAATGTTGGCACCACTATTGAAGGAAAACCTAGAAGCCTGCAAAGACCAAAGCCTACTTACATGATTTCCCCCTCTACCCCGCTTACATGATTTTTAAGAACAGTCTCTGAAGAAAACCTCTGAGTTAAACATATTAAAGATAGCCTCATGATGGATTTCTCTGGATATCAGCTTTCCAACTGTATCCAGAGAAAGTTTAAAGCCAATCTCAACTGACATTAAGGAATATACACTAGGTCTAACTATGTGGTCTTCTGCTGAGTAGATTAGTTTTACAACTAAAAGTCCTTGTGAAAGCCTGGCTACAGAGAAGGTTTCATAGATCTGATATTAAAAAAAGTCAAGCGCTTTGGGAGGCTGAGATGAATGAATTGCCTGAGCCTGCGGGTTTGAGACCCGCCCGGGCAACTTGGTGAGACCTCATCTCTACAATAAATCAAAAAATTAGCCGGGTGTGGTAGCACACGCCTGTAGTTCCAGCTACTTGGAAGGCTAAGGTGGAAGGATCGCCGGAGCCCAGCAGGTTGAGGCTGTGGTGGCCAGGAGCGGCCACTGCACTCCAGTCTGGGTGACAGAGTGAGACTTCAACTCAAAAAAAAAAAAGTCAAGAGACTTAATGGATGGACTATCTGGGCCTACATGTTGAGCCTAGTGTGAGAAGTGGAGAAAAACAATTCAGCGTGTTCATAGGTAAGTGGATTCCTATAGAAGGTGTGTAGATGCGCTCTGTTTGTACAGTTGTCTTACTATCTTTATATTGGGTGATTATGGAAATAAGCAATTTATTTTATAGCTTTTTAATGGACATATTTTTCTTTTAATTTTTCTTTTAAAGATGTTGGGGTACAATTCAGGGTTAGGTATACAAATGTTCATTATGTAGGTATCCTTGTTGATGAGGTGTGCATCCCACCCCCTGGCAGATTCCTACTACCGCCAATTCTGCATTTAATGGAAATTTTAAAATTAAATTCCCAGAGTAATTTATTAGATTGAAATATTTAACACCATCTTTCACTTGAGTTATGAATATAATAACTGATAAATAACTAAAGAAAACTCTGAGACTTTACATTTGAACATTTCTTTACATATGTCTGCTCTTTGTCCCTAGGTAGCAAGTATCTAACTTTGAAGATAAATAGATCTTGGTTTGACTATGACTTCAGTCCAATTTTCCCAAGTATAAGGCTGGACGTGGATTAGAGATTCTCTTATGTATATAACCCATAATCTAGTGCAGATATGACTCCTAATACATAACAGTAATTATAAGTAATTTAGTACCTAGTAATAATAGTGACATTATTGTCATTCCTATATAATTTTCCACAGATCTTAGAGTTAGATACTTGATATTTTTACATGATCAGGATAAAAAAATTGAAACTAAAGAACAGAAATGATAACTATACGGTATCTCAAATATATAGACATAGTAAAAAAAACAGACTTACATAATCTCCACCAGGTCCTGCCTGTCGATACCACTTGATCTGCTCTTCTAGCTTCACAACCATGTTCCTTAAATCATTCTTTTCTTCAGTCAGTTGACTGATATGTCCTGTAAGCTCAGCATTTTGTCTCAGTAGTCTTTCTGTCAATGAACCACAAGAAGTACCTGGGTACACTAAGCTGGGCTGGAAAAATAAAATGGCATAAGGTCAAATAAGCACAAGTGTATGTGAATAACACATATACAACTGAACAGGCACTGAGAGCAACAGAATTCATGAATAAGCAGTACTTGAGTTAAGTCTTAAATAACAGTAGAAATTTATCAGGCAGAAAAGAAGACAGGAAAGGGCATATCGAGCAGAAGGAACAGCATGTATGAAGACACAAAGGCTTGAGCAAGAGCATATTGCCTTTAGGGAACTATAAATTGTTTGGTAAGGCTAGAGTAAAGGTTGCTTCACTGTATGGATAATAAACCAATGTAGGCAATGGAGGACCATGAAAGGCTTTAGGCAGTATGCCACACACAAAATGTACATGTTAAGAAGATTCCTTGGGTAGCAGTATGCAAAGTAGAACAAACTCCTGGCATCAGGCAGACTCATCAGGGAGTTGATGCAATAGTCCACGTAAGAAACACTCATAGTCTGAATGCAGGCAATGACAAAGAAAGAGTGAGTATGGGAGAGCAGAAGGCACAGGACTCTGTGACTGCTTAGATGTGTGGGTAAGGGTGAAGAAAGGTGGTCTATGGTGACTTCCAATTTTCTAAACTGGATGGTGATATGATCAGAAGTGTGGGTCCAGGGCAGGAAGGAGAAAGGGAAGACAGTGTTCAGTTTGGAATGTGCCTTTGAGACTGCTAAGGGGTCACTCTGGGGTGCATTTCCCTAAGGAAAGATGTTTATTAACTAATTGAAAATATACATCTGGACTACAAGAAAAAGGCCTAAACTAGAACCACAGTCCCTAGAAGATAAGTTCCACAAGGATGAGGTTTTTGTCAGATTTGCTCCTTGTATCACCAGAACCTAGAACAGCACCTGGTGTATTGTAGGTGCTCAATATCAGTAATTGTTCAAAAAATAAGTCTAGTGAGAGCTCAGGTTGCAGAATTGAATGAATTTTCACAGCTATAGCTAGAGAAAAAGATGGAAGAGGACAGAAGGATGAAGAATCCATGAAGATGACTAATGAAAGAAGTGGAAGAAATGACAGAATACTGACACAAAAAGCAAGGAAAGGAGGGTTTTAAGAAAATGGAAAGGGTCAAATGTCAAATGCTACAAAGAAATCAGGAGAGGGACTGAAAGGATTCACCAGATTAGTCAACTGTGAAAACACTGGTCAGATTTTAAGGGTGGTTCCAAAGAGTGGTAATGGCAGATGTCAGACCACTCTTGGTCTTAATACAGTAAGAGGTCAATGTACTTATTCAGTAACAATAATGAAAGCTAATTCCCTCCCAAACCTTCATTTTATCTTCTATTAGGAGAGGATAAAAATTATTACTCATATTTAAAATAAATAAAAAGATAAAATTAAAACTGTTTACAAAATATGCTACCAATTTCAAACAATTCATAGTCTATATTAAATCTTTACTCTCACGCTTTAGAAGGAGTTTTTTTTTAAAAGTCTTACCTCTTCAACTGACTGGCCAATTAATTTTTGTAGTTGTAAAATAATTCCATCAATATTTTCCTGAACCCAAAAGAAATCTTCATCATCTGCTGTTTCAAACTGTAGCCTTTAGGAAAAAAAAAAAGACAAAATGTCAAAACATATCTTCTCAATCAGGGGTGTTTACTAGCACAACATTACAGATCAGGTGACAATCTGCTTCACTGACCACTTCTCCCTTACAGTAAGTGTTCTCAAGGTTAGTTAGTTATCTTGAGGTATATGAGTTTTGTTAAAGAATATAATCTCCTAAGGTAAACATGTATTACTTTAAAAATCTCAATTCCTGGTTAGCACGGTGGCTCATGCCTATAATCTCAGCACTTTGGGAGGTAGAGGCAAGAGGACTGCCTGAGCTCAGGGATTTGAGACCAGCCTGAGCAACATGGCGAGACTTCGTTCCACAATAAATCAAAAAATTAGCCACTTGGAGGCTGAGGCAGAAGGATTGCCTGAGCCCAGCAAGCTTAGGCTGCGGTGGCCGTGAGCGTGCCACTGCATTCCAGCCTGGGTGACAGAGTGAGACTCCAATTCAAAAATAAGAAAAAAAAAGAAAAAAGTCTCAACTCTCCAGCCTTGGCTAGCTATCAGTAAGGGATGAGACCTGTCCAGTCTGATAAGAATGCTATTTTTCCAAAGATCAGGCAGAAAAGTCTAACCTGTTAGAGGCTTTCTGGGCTAGATGCTGTAGTTTTGAAGCTACATGTTGAAGTGTTTGTCTGATAATTTCTAACTTATGATGACAGCCAGTTCCTCCTCCATTCATTTCAATCAACTTAGGATAGTTTGATTCCTTTGTCTCTCCTTCTATTTTCTGCTGAAGAACCCAATTTCTAGTTCGATCATTGCTTAAGCTCCATGTGGTTGGCTGGCAATTTTGAACAGAAAAATAAAATAATCATAAACAAACAATATTCTTTCTTAAAGGAATGCAATTATTCTTTATATTCCAAATAAACTTTTATAGATTTCATTTTCAAATGATTTGAATACAGCTACTTAGATAATTTAATCCAATATCAAAATTTAATGGTCAAAGAGGGCTGCAGTATACTCTTTTCTTTTAAAAAGAAAAAGTGTCAATTTACCTCGTTAAGATTCTCATACAGAATTCTTCTACTTTCTCGTTTTTCTTCTCGTTCTAGTTCTTGCTTCTGGAATTCCTGCATAATTCCTTGCAGTCGTTTTCCTTCAAGGTCTAACTTATAAACTTGTTGCCTTTTCTCTTCCAGCTGGCGCTGAAGATCTTCTACTTTGGACTGGAGCTCGTGCATTTTTTTCTGTCCCTCAGTGTTGGCTTCTTGTTCTGTCTGTAATGTCTTTCTATGAACTTGCCTATCTTTTTCCATTTGTTGTCTTGTTTGCAAAGAATCCAGTTTATATTTCTCAGTCTCATTTAACAACTCTACTATGTGACTGCGTTTCTCCTCCAGCTGTTTCTGTAGCTCTTTAAGAAGATCCTCAGAGGGTAGGGATGGTCGAGGCTGCCCACTTTCATCACTGTTGTGCAGCTGCGCATGTAATTTCCGCTCCCTGTCTAAGGTACTACTCATTTCCCGAAATCGAACTTTCTCAGATTCAAGAAGTACTTGAAGCTCCAAGTTCCGACCTTGTTCTTCTGACAACTGGGCATCATATAGCATTCTTTGTGATTCTATTTTTTGCTGTGATTCGTTTAGTAGTTGTTTCTGTTGTTCCAAAAGTAGATTTAGCTGAGTATTCCTTTGTTTCTGACCCTCTAGTGAAAATTTCAGATCCTTGTAGGAGAAAAATCAAATTTAAGAACTTGTTACTATTATTAAAAATACTATATAAGTATGCAACCATGCGTTTATTAATACTAAGTTGGTAGTATTTGGTAATAGAAGATACAGCATTATCCAGTTTATTAACTTACATTTTCATTGTTTAGACAGCCAGCTGATTTTAATCAAAAAAGAGAGTTAAGATAATAATACTTTTCTTTTAAAACATTAATCTTATCCGGCTAAGTAATACAAAGCAGAATATATTTCTTATAATAATATCCACCTCTAAAAATGTGGTCCAGGAGATCTTATGTTTTGATAAGACTCCTATGCACGTTAATACATTTGTATAAAAATACATATAAGCGTTCATGACATAATGTGATAGGGGTTCCTGAAACACCTTGTGTTTTGCATCACATTCTAAAAATAATAGGGCTCATGGGGAAAGCAAGGTTAGGGACAACAACTCAGAATCTATGCAAAATTTTAATAGTTAAAAATAGTAATTAGTATCTGGGGAGATAACATATCCTTGCTGGGTAGAGACTTCACTATGCCTGGAGGCAACTATAGTGGACATTTGAAAACAAAAAATAGGACAAAAATGCTGGCAACACTTTTTTTTTTTTAAACATAAAGTTAGTGGGAACTAGGATTACATGGCTAGAAGATCTCAGAGCTAGTGAGGTTATCATTAAAGTGAGCACTGCATGTAGTATAACCTTCCTTGAGCTGAAAGCCTTGCAAGGCTGGGGTGTGTCTCTCTGGAAGAACCCAATGTTCACTTTAAATAATCTTAAATTTCTGGAGCAAGTTCTCCAGAGAAGAACCCCTGTTACCCTTTCCCAGGAGAAAACAGGAACCAAAACTTCCTCTGCATTAAACTGACATGACTGCCCTATTTATCAAATTGTGTGTGCACCAATTCATAAATTCATATTCCCAAAACATGTTGCAGCAAGACAAAAAAATCATCACACCATTAGCATTTCCTCATAAAGCAGTTTAGATTACATTATAGTAGTACTCAATACATAGTGAACAACTTATGAGTTTACAAAAGAGTCTAAGGTTGACACTTTACATGGAGGAAAGTCTAAAGGCATATAAACATAATGATAACAATACCTCTAATTCTTCTTTATCGCGTTCTTCATTGCATCCCAATTTTGCTTTCTCTTTCTCCAAAGCCCACTGGAGCTCTCTTGATTTTTTCTGTTCACTTGCTAGTGTATCATTAAGCAAATGCACTTCATCTGTCTTATCTTTAACTTCCAATCTACATCAGAGAGACAAATGGACTTTCATAAAACCATGCTGACCAAGAATATAATGAGAATGAGAGAGAGAGAGAGAGAGAGAGAGAGAGAGAGAGAGAGAGAGAGAGAGAGGTTTTCATTGAAAAGTTGAGGCATAAACTAGCTAATAAGAAAATATAAACCATGTAAAGATAGAAGATTCTTGATTGTGATTCTTAACTGCTCCTAGTAGTACAACTGTTAGTTATTATTTACCATTGCAAACAATCACGCAATTTGTTGTTATAAAATAATATTAACACAAATTTCCCTTGTCTTTTACTGAACATGGGAATTACCATGTGTATTTCTGTGAGTATAACCAACGTTTAACATAAAAATGATTATACTCATAATGTGTCTTTGGCAAGCAGAATATCTCAGTATTTACACCAACATATCCTTTATACAAGTATTATCTCTTCAAACATTCTGCAAATTTTAGGTAACTAAACCACAAATCCTACTGAGCTCATAAATAACAATTCAAATTAGTTAGTGGTGAAATAAATGTCAAAATCATAAATTCTGTAAGTTTCACATAGAACTAAAGCCACAATTGATAATATGTCAATATTATCATGAATTCATAATTTAGAAACAATTACAGTTTTTTCTCTCTACTACAGTTTTTCCTAAAATAACATAGTTTCATGTTGTTTGTATATGAGGTATAATGTTATATTTTTATATTTGCACAGTGTTTATGACAAAATCACGCCAATTCCTTCACTAATACACATTTGTAATAGGGAAGCTTGGCACACCTGAATGCCTCTAATTCCTTTAGGCGCTTATGCTGTGCCTTGAGTGTTGTTTCTAGTTCCAATTTAGTTTGTGCGAGCTCACTCTTCAGTTCAGCAACCACCATTTTCTCAGAACTCAGTTGTTCCTGCAGTTCTGTTGCTCTGTCTTTCACACTGTTGAGCTCCACTTGCATCTCCAGCAGCTGAGACTGCTTCTGCTGTATATTATATTCCAAGATTTCTAAATGGAAAGTGGTTAATATTTAAAATACAATCAAGCAACTCACATTTGGTTTATAAATATGAGTATTTTCTTGATAACAGCAGCTCTGTAATTTAGATTACTACAAAGCAAATGTGAAAAGATTACAGAACCGAGAGTTGGTGTGTGTGTGTGTGTGTGTGTGTGTGTGTGTGTGCCTATTTTCCTCACACAGTAGTCAAGATTTCAGAACTGTAAATATACAAGGATGATAAAAGTTTAAGAGAATACATTAATGGATGCAAGACTTAAAATTTTTTAAAAACTTTAAATGTTAACACAATACTATGACTAGGACCTCATTTGTTCATTCAGAATATCAACACTAAAAAAATTGAGATTGTTGATAGCAACATAAGGACCTGGAGGAGTTACTCATGTAACTATAACTGCAATAACCAGTGCTGTTTGCGTGTTTTGTTGTACACTTCTTGCAGACAGTCTCTAAGCATGTTACTATAATTCGGATCCCAGAAGTGAGAATTTCAAACATCAGTTTGGATCCTGTTGTTTTCATTAAAAATGAACCAAACCCTTGCTGCATGTTTGTTACAATGAAAACAAACAAAAATTAAAATCGATAAGTATGTTAAATTTTTTATAAGTATGCAATAAAATATGCATCAGGATGCCTTTTTAATGAAAAATGCAAACTTATGCACACAAGCATATTGGAAAGTTTGAAGATATATTTACTCAAGTGTTAAACAGCCACTATTTTAGGATTTTGGTGATTCTAGGAGTGAGTTTTACTTTATTCTTTTGTTTCTCTATTCTACCATAAATATGTAACACTACTGTAATAAAAAAATATTTAACTTAAGATCTAGTAAGCTCATTAATTCATATCACAATTCATATTAATGATGTTAAGAGACAGGAATAACAATGGCTTTTGACAATAATCAGTCACGTTAATTTAAGCTTTTAAAACTACAGAAGCTAAAGATTTACATATTAAATATGAATCTAGTGACACTTATAATTACTTTCAATGATGTTTTATTTAACCCAAGTAAAACAATATTAATTATCTCTAAAAACAATCTTCAATTACGATAAGAATGAATTATCTCTAAAAACAATCTTCAATTGGGGTAAGAATGCTTCAGCTTTTTAATGACCAGTATGAGACTATGCAGTGACTCTCAAAATTTGCAAAAGCACAGGTGTTTCTACAATTTACAAGAAACAAAATTACTAAAAACACAGGCATGTATCCTCATTAGACACAATAAAAATTAGATTTCACTTTACTCTCTAATTTCTATCTGCAGCACAATTTAAATAGACACCCCTATCAAAAAGTAGAGGACAATCTGAACAAGAATATCACTAAAACAAAAATCCAACTAGCCAATCATCATATAAAAAAGAACCCAACCACTTCAGTAATTAGACAAAAGTCAATTAAGACCACGTTAAGAATCTACTATGCACCCAACATACTGGCAACAGAGGTCTGATAATACTAAGTTGGTGGCAAAGATGTGAAGCAACAGAGTACTCATATGCTGCTAGCGAGTGTACCAACTGAAATGACAACTCAGGAAAACAGTTTGATGCTACCTAATGCATTTGAGGATACGTATCCTTTGACCCAGCAATTACATTCCTAGGTATAAACTCATATGCATATGCATCAGAAGCACTGTACTACAATGTCCATAATGGTACTGACAGCTAAATAACAGCTAAAAAGTTTAAACAACCCAAATGTTCAATCACTGAGTAGATATATAAATTTTGGAATATCTATGCAAGGGAATTCTATATTATAATAAAAATTAACTAGAGATAAATGCAGTAACCTGGAAGAATGTAATAAAGAAGTAAAAGAAACAGAACAAAACACACTGATTAAGTTCCAAAATTGGAAAAGCCTTAAACTTACATGGTTTAAGAATATAAAAGTAAGCCAGGCTCAGTGGCTCAGCCTGTAATCCTGTGCCTTTGGGAGGTGAGTGGATTGCCTGAGCCCACAGGTTCGAGACCTGCCTGGGCAGCAAAACCTCATCTCTACAATAAATCAAAAAAATCAGCCGGGCATGGTAGCACATGCCTGTAATTCTGGCTACTTGGAAGGCTGAGACAGAAGGATCGCCGGAGCCCAGCAGGTTGAGGCTGCGGTGGCCGGGAGCGGCCACTGCACTCCAGTCTGGGTGACAGAATATACAAGTAGATCATAAAACTAAAGAAAAATCAGGTAATGATTACCTCTAAGTTACTGAGAGGAGCACACATTTTGGGGAAGGAGGCTTTTGGAATACTGGCAATATTCTACTTCCCCATGAATGATGTAATTGGTCCTACATATATTTGCATTTTCTACATGTTATAGTTCACAATTTTCAAAAAAAAAAGGGTTAAAAAAGAATTAGCTGCTTTCACTGTGGATTTCTTTTTCTTTTAAATGATTGTCCTCTAAAGGACAGTGGCAGTTTATTTTAAATTACATATAGCTGTTTAAAACCAATTTGACAATCTTCTAACCCCCCTTGTAACAAATATACATGTTATGAGATTGAGAAGATAATATGATTGAGGAAATTTGCTTTAACTGAATATAAGTATAAATATAAGTATGCAGGTAATAGTTTATATAAAGAATGCCAGCTTTGGGGGCTGGTGGTGGGGTGCAAGCCTCTTCCTTGAGGTGAAGGTCCTAGGGAGGTTGTTTCCTTCATTTTTGGTTTACAAGACCAAAGTAATAGTTATACTACGAGGACTTATCACTTGAGCATTTTATTTTCGATCAGGTTAGTTAAGGGTATAAGGATTAAAATGGTTAGGAAATATAGGATAGAGGCTGCTTGACTGATAGTGAAGAATGGGTGTTCAAGAGGCTGGCCTCCAATTCAAGTTAGTGTTAGTAAGTCAGCTACTAGTATTCAGAATAAGCATTGGCTGAGTGGTCGAAAGATTATACTTCGTTGTTTGGATGTATGTAATATTGATTGGGATGATGGCGAGGATTAAGATAGATAATACTAGGGCTTAAGACGCCTCCTAGTTTATTGGGGATGGATCGTAAGATTGCGTAGGCAAATAGGAAGTATCATTCTGGTTTGATATGGGGTGGGGTATTTAGAGGGTTAGCTGGGGTGTAGTTATCTGGGTCTCCTAGGAGGTCTGGTGTGAAGAGTACTAGGGTTATGAGTAGTAGTATTAGGGCTGTTAATCCTAGAATATCTTTTATTGTGAAGTAGGGGTGAAATGGGATTTTATCAGAGTCGGAGGAGGTTCCTGATGGATTATTAGATCCGGTTTCGTGGAGGAATAAGAGGTGGACGATTACAAGGGCTGCTACTATGAATGGTAGGATAAAGTGGAAGGCGAAGAATCGTGTGAGGGTGGCTTTATCAACTGAAAAGCCTCCTTAAATTCATTCTACTAGGTTGGTGCCAATATAAGGGATAGCTGATAGGAGGTTGGTGATGACAGTAGCGCCTCAAAATGATATTTGTACTCATGGAAGTACATAGCCTATAAATGCTGTTGCTATCACGGTAAATAATAAGAGGATGCCAATGTTTCATGTTTCTAGGAAAGTGTAAGAGCCGTAATACAAACCTCGGTCTACATGTATGAATAAGCAGATAAAGAATATGGAAGCTCCGTTTGCATGTAAGTATCGAATGATTCAGCCGTAGTTTACGTCCTGGCAGATGTGTGTTACAGAGGAAAATGCGGTTGTTGTGTCTGATGTATAGTGCATGGCCAGGAATAGTCCTGTGATGATTTGAATTCCTAGGCAAATTCCTAAGAGGGAGCCGAAGTTTCATCATGTGGAGATGTTAGAGGGTGCGGGGAGATCAATGAATGAGTGGCTAACAATTTTTATGAGGGGGTGAGTTTTTCGTAGGTTGTCATTAAGTTCTTGTAGTTGAATAACAACGATGATTTTTCAGGTCATTAGTCGTGGTTTAAGTCCATGTGGGAACTAATGACTTATGTTGTGTTTTTATTGAGTATAATTTTTTTAGTAGGTTTTACAGGATTTTCTTCAAAACCTTCTCCTATTTATGGGGGTTTGGGTTTAATTGTTAGTGGTGGGGTGGGATGTGGAATAGTATTAAGTTTTGGGGGAGCTTTTATTGGGTTAATGGTGTTTTTAATTTATTTAGGTTGTATATTGGTTGTGTTTGGGTATACAGTGGCGATGGCTATGGAGGAGTATCCAGAGGTTTGGCGATCAAGCGTTTCTATGTGAGGGGTATTGTTATTAGGATTATTGTTAGAGTTGTTTATGGTTGTGTGGATATTATATCATGATAGTATTGGGCTTAAGAGTTTAGAGGATTGAGTTATTTTTGAGGATGATATATTTAGTTTGTTTCATAAAGATTCTGTAGGGGTGGCAGCTTTGTATGGTGATGGTAGCTGATTAATAGGGGTTGCGGGTTGGTCTTTGTTTGTTACTATTTTTATTGTGATTGAAATTACTCGGGGTTTTTAGAGAATAAGAAGTGTTCCAAGTATTACAGTAATAAGAAAGGATAAAAAGTATAGTTTGATTATGCCTGATTGGTTGGAGGTGATTGTGGATGTGTATATATGAGTTTTAGCTATGTTTTTTGGTATTATTTTTTCTAATCAGAGGAGGTCTAGAAGTGAGGATGCTGTGTTTTGGCTGATATATAATTTCATAAGAGGGCATAGGTGGTGAATTGTAATTGGGAAAAAGCCCAGTAAGTTAGAAAATAGGAGAGGTTGAGTGGGATATTTTAGTTTGAGAAAATATGTGAGGTTGTTGAGTTCTATTGCTAGTGTAAATCCTAAAACGGTGACAATAAGTGCTGAGAATTTTAAGTATGAGGGTATAGTTATTTGTGGGGTTGTTATGGGAGGGATAGAATTTGAGATGAGAATTCCTGCGAAAATGCTACCTAGGGCTAGGCATTTAATGGGATTAATTAGAAGGGGGTTGTTTTCGTTGATGTTTGTTAAAGTTGGGAAGCAAGGTTGGCCTAGGAGTGCGAAGAAGATTATGCGGGTGCTGTAAACGGCTGTTAGGGATGTAGCAAGCAGTATAATAGAGAGGGCTCAGGCGTTGGTATATGAAATTCTGGCAGCTTCAATAATAAGGTCTTTAGAGTAAAAGCCTGTAAGGAAAGGAATGCCTGTAAGAGCAAGGCTTCCAATAAGTAGTGAGGAAGAAGTAAAGGGTATAGTTATAAGTAGGCCTCCTATTTTGCGGATATCTTGTTCGTCGTTTAGGTTATGAATGACAGACCCTGAACAAGTATGTTCAGTTAAAGCAAACTGAATGTATAATATAATAATAATAAGTATAATATAATAATAATAAGTATATTTAACTAAATGATAATATAATAATAAGGAAAACACAGTAAAATATTTTCACCTATTTATGTAACTATATGAACCTGCATATAACAATACCTTGGCTTGGTTTATCATTCTCTTGTTCTCTTTTCAGAGTCATTTTCCTACCATTCATTTGTGCATGTAGTGTTTGAATTTCAGATAACAAGCTCCTTCTATCTGCTTTCTGGAAGCATTCCATAGCTTCTTGATATTCAACACTCTGAAACAAAGGAAAATAAAAAAATCAAGTGAAGGAAATTGTGAAGACCATAAAATTAACAATCAAGAAATCTGAAAAAGGATTAATGGAACAAAGATACTACAATTTTTTTTTTTTAATTGCGGTCTGTCACCCAGGCTGGAGTATAGTGATACGATCATGGCTCACTGCAGCCTTGACCTCTTGGGCTCAGGTGATCCTTCCAGGTCAGCCTCTTGAGTAGGTGGGACTACAGGTGTGCACCACCATACCCAGCTAATTTTTTAAAAGTTTTTTACAGAGACAAAGTCTTGCTATGTTGCCTAGGCTGGTCTCGAACTCCTGGGCTGAAGCATTCCTTCCACCTTGGCCTCCCAAAGTGCTGGGACTACAGGTCTGAGTCACTATGCCCAGCTAAATTCTTTTTAGTTTAAAACTTTTATTTTTCCTTTCCAAAATGTGTGAGAATGTGCTACAGACAAATGTCCTTTTATCTCTAAATACTACAGAGTGTATTTCCTTAAAATAAGAACATGCTTTTTCATAACTACAATGAACAAAAGTAGAACTAACATTACTATGGCATTACCATCTGATATACAGCTTATTCAAATTTTCCAAATGTTCTTTATAGAAAAAAAAGTAATACTCATAAGTCTTTGTCTTTCCTAACCATGAATTTTTGAAGAGTACAGGCTAGTCATTTTGCTGTATGTCCTTCAATTTAAAAAATTTTTTACTTTGAACTAATTTAAGCTGAAGTTCCCATGCACCCCTTTGCCAGTTTCCCCAATAATAACATCTTACATAATTGCAGTACATTATGAAATCCAGGAAACTGACATTGCTAGTTAAACTACAAGGCTTACTCAGATTTCATTAGCTTTTAAACCCACTCACAATTTTTTTTTTTGGTGTACAGTACAAGATATTTTATCACATATGCAGGTTCATGCAGCCACCACCACAATCAGGGCACAGACTTTCTCATCACCACAAATAAACCATTTTGTAGTCAACCCTCCTCCTTAGCCCCTGCCACTGACTGTCATCTATCACTATAAGTTTGTCATCTCTAGATGCATGTATAGATAGTTTGTTCCTTTTTAATTGCTGAGTGGTATTTCATTGTATGTATACTCCAGTTTACATTCGCCTGTCAAAAGGCATCTGGGTTATTTCCAGTTTTGGCTATTAAACTGCTACGATATTCATATATAGGTTTTAACGGAGACATAGGTTTTCATTTCTGTCTGATAAAATAATTGTGAGTGTGACTGCTACACTGTATGGTAAGTGCATGGTTGGTAAGAAATGGCCAGATCATTTCCCAGCGTGGCCTCCCATTTTACATTCCTACCAGCAAGGTACAAGACGCAGCTTCTCTTTGTCCTCACCAGCATTTGTTTTTAATTCCAATCGATGTGTAGTATCCTCAATTTGTTTTCATCTGATATTTCTCCAAGAGTAGTTATGCATTTAACAGAATACCACAAAAGTGATATTGTGTCCTTCATATCGTATGATGCCTGTTCCATTACTGGTAATAATAACTCAGATCACTTGGTAAAGCTGGTGTCTGCAAGGTTTCTCCATTGTCAAGTTCCTGCTTTTCACTACTTTGAGATTACATAAATATGCTTTTCTTATCAAACTGTTTCATACTAGTTTTAGCATTTGTTGCTAATTATTGCTCGAATAGGTTGTTACTATAATCTTTACTGAAGGATGATTTCCTAATTCTATTGTTTCTTCTACAATCACTAGCTATCTACTGTAAGAATATTTATTTATATCAGTATAAACTCATGAACTTTTATATACTCTTTGGTTTATAATTTGTCACTATCATTTAGTTTGGCATTTAAATTTTGGACAAGCTGCTTCTGTGAGCTTTGACAATCTCCTTTCATTCTTTTAACAATTCCTTACTTGCCAGCAAAACACAAGATTCCAGGTTTACCTTGTACTTTCCCTAATCCATTCCTGGAATCAGTTCAGTTCTCCAAGGGACTTTACTTTCTTTCAATGAAAAATGTACTTAAAAGACAAGATCTGGGTGCTAAGTGTTATGAGTAGATTCTGAGTACCAATTTGATCCCATTACTAGTTATGTCTTTTCAGGTTTTCTACTTTTTCCTGATTGAGTTCCGATGAATGATTTTTTTTTTTTAAGAAAAATTGTTATTTCACCCAAGTTTTAAAATTTGTTAACAGTTGTTCAAAATATTCTATTCTCTTTAGTTATGTATGTCCCAGCTATATCTTTAGTTGATTCCATCTTCATTCTTAATTTTTAAAAAATGTATGCTTTATCAAAAATTTTGCTTAACCAATTCTTCAGAAAAGTTTCTATTTTATTAGCTTTTCAAAGAACCAACTTTTTACATTGTATACTCTTTATTTTACCAGTTTATGTATTTCATTAACTTTTTTCTTTATTAAAGTCAATCCTCATTATTCATGGATCCTGTATTTACCTTCTCACTAAAATGTATTTGTAACCCCCACATCAGTACTTGTATGGCTTTCATGGTCTCTCACAGACATGCATAGAGCAGCAAACATTTTAAGTTGCCCAATGTGCATGTTCCTGCTGAAGTCAAAAACGGTGATACTCTGCCTTCTTGCTTTGGCTCTGTTACTCTAAACAAGTATCCTTTTTATAATCTCCTTAATGTATTTTCAAATTTGTGTGATTTTTGTGATTTCACTTTTCAAAATGGCCCCCCAGACACATGAAAAAGTACTCAACCTCACTAATCATCAGAGAAATGCAAATCAAAACCACACTGAGTTACCACCTAACCCCAGTAAGAATGGCCATCGTTAATAAAACAAACAATAACAGATGCTGGTGAGGATGTGGAGAAAATGGCCAGGATGCAGAGACAAAGAAACACTTCTACTAAGCTGGTGGGAATGCAAACTAGTGAACCTCTATGGAAGATAGTGTGGTGATTTCCAAAAGAACTAGAAATTGACCTTTCATATGACCCAGCAATTCCCCTATTGGAAATATACCCAGAGGAACTCAAATCATTCTACAAAAAAGATACATGCATGTTTATTGCAGCACTACTCACAATAGCAAAAACATGGAACCAACCATGCTGCCCACCAAAACGGGACTGGATAACAAAAATGTGGTACATATACACAATGGAATATTATGCAGTCATAAAGAAGGATAAACATATGGACTTTGTAGCAACTTGGATGGATTTAGATCTATCACAGAAACAAAGAATAGAGTACCATATGTTCTCACTCATAAGCAGACCTTGAACAATTATCATAATACTATAAGGGATTGGCAATTGTGAGAAACTGCCAGGGGAGAGGGGATGGGATTGGTAGTTGAGGGAAACTGCCAGGGGGGAGGCATACGTCATCATCAAGGGTACTTGCATAATGAACATTTGTATACCTAATCCTGAACTGTACCCCACATCTTTAAAATAAAAAATAAAAAAAATTTTTAAATGGTCCCCCCAAGTGTAGCAGTGAAGAACTTTGTGGTGTTCCTAAGAGCAGGAAGACTGTGGTGCCTTTTCAGGAGAAAATATGCAAGTGAGATAGGCTTCTTTAAGGCATGATTTATAGTGCTGTCAGTGGTATTCAACATTAATGAATTAATTGTAATATATAGTAAATAGATGTCTTTAAGCAGAACCACACGTAAACAAGGTTATAAACTGATTGGTTGATGAAAACATTGTGACCAAAAGTTTAAAGGAACTTAGCCCTGTGTTTCCCTTAGGAGCAATGATTGCTTAGTGATTACAGCAACTGTATAGAACATAACCACTATGAATAATGAGAATTTACTATATCTTATTCCTTCTCATTTTGTGGTTTATTCTGTTGCTTTTTCTAGCTTTCTAAGTTAGACAACTAGCTCAATGATTTTCAGTCTTTCTTACTTTCTAACATAAGATGAAATATTTAAGATAATATTCTTTTCCTAAATATTCCTAATGCCTCCTATTATTGTTAACCATCATACTGAAATTAAGACTCTAAAACTAATCAATAACTCATTTTCTTATTACTGTTAAAAAATGTTCTTTAAAACAAAGTTTCATTTAGATACCTGTTCTTGTAATCTCTGTTCCAAACAGTTTAATAATCCAACTGCATCTCTAGTACCTAGAGCTGTCAGCTCAGTCTGAAATGCAGCTAGTAAAACAGTACGCTCTTTTAAGAAAACTTGTTGAAGGGCAAGCAGCAGTTCACCTCGCCAGTCTGAGCAGCTCTCATGAGATTGAGAACTATCATAAACCTAGCAGAGTACAAACAACAAAAGTTAGTTTTCAAATGAGCATGTTTTGAAAACATTCTAAAAATACTAATCTCCTAACCAAAATGAATATTAAAAGCCAAAGAGCATATTTATTTTCAAGTGTGAAAATATATAATCAATGCAAAAACATATAAAAATAATTTAATTTGCAATATGTACTGTTATTATTGTTACAAGTAATATAAGACTTTTTAGATGCTGAATATTCTTTGGGTACCTTGGCTTCTCTGTGCACTTGCATTTTGGTAATTAAATCCTTAAGAGATAAGATTGTATTCAGGTATGCTCTTCTTTCTTCCAGCCAAGATTCTGACATCTGCTGAAGAGAATGGTCCTCTCCATCATTATAAGGAGACTCCGTAAGAGAAAGTACCTGAATACCCTCATTGTGGACAGCTCTCAGTAATCCCTGGAAACCAAAATTCCAAAGCCAGAATTACATCTTCCTCAAAGACTGAAAAACTTGACAAAAAAATAGAAATAAACTTTCAGCAAAATAGCTTTATCTAGCCATATTGATTTAGAAAAGCCACTGCAGACAGAAAACTCCAGCTTAATCTTACTGAATGCCTTGTTCCTGTGAAGGGAGTAAGTCAATCCCTGTAGACTGTCTATGAGTTTTCACAGTTCTCATTTCTACATTCCTTCTATTTAGCTAATGTACTCTTCCTAGGTTTAATGATTAGCCACTAACTAGTCAAAAGAAAAACATGGGGAATAACTTCTAGTCTTTGAAACTACTTTAAAATAATTTTGGCAAATAAAGACATTAGTAATAAGAATTATTAAGAAAAAATCTTCATACACATAATTATAATATATATTACACTTTACTATCTGTAAAATATGGGAAAGAAATAAAACTGAAACCCAAAGTTCCTTCTAGCTATGCCATTCTCTCTTTGGAAGAGCTCGCTATATAACTTTTTTTGGGGGGGATACAGGGTACCCCCCCGGTTGCTCAGGTTGGTGTGCAATGGCAGAATCATAGCTCACTGCAGCCTCAACCTCCTGGGCTCAAGTGATCCTCCTGCCTAAGTCTCCCAAGTAGCTAGTGCCCCACCATGCCTAACTAATTTTAACTTTTTTATAAAGACAAGGTCTTGCTATGTTTCCCAGCCTGTCTTGAACTCCTGGGCTCAAGCAATCCTTCCTCCTTGGCCTCCCAAAGTATTGGAATTATAGACATGAGCCACCATGCCTGACTCTACTATATAACTTCTAATAAACTACTGTGTTCAATGTAGAAATACCGGCTGAGTTAATAAACAGTATCTATCTTTTAGTACCTTTATTTTCTTTGGAAAAGAATCTGCTGGACTTTCACCTTCTTCTTCTTGGCCTTCTGACGCTGTGTCAAATCCCTGACTGTGTGTAAGATAAATTCCCTGACCCCAGTCTGATCCAGAATCTAAAATAAAGAAAGTCATTTGCTGTTAAGTCAACCTGTCCCCCATAAAACAAAACTTTTTAAACAAACACTATTAAAATTTCAGAACTTTATATAACTTACCACTGGAATATATTTCTCTAGTTTTGTAAGCATCAGAATGTGTTAATTCAGGAATTGAGGATCCCTAATTAGAGAAAACAAACATTTTTTGCTTTAATAAAAACGGAACCCAATGAATCATCCTAGTGTTTTCTAATGCTGTAGGGAAAAAAAGCATCAATTTTGTCATTCACAATACATGAAATGATCCATAGTTTATAATAGGCTATATTTTTTTCCTTCATGAATATTACTACAATAAGAGACAATCATGAACTAACAGGATAACAGGTTCCAAATCCATAAAGGACCTTAATATATTATCTAATTCTACACAATGGAAAGATTTAAAATGATAATAGTATCATAAGGAAGACACTTCCTCAAGTTTCTTTTTAAATTTTCTCTTAAAGAATGTTGACAAAAACACATCGTAAAAATGAAATACCTCTTTAGTTCTTAGACACTGTATCACTGCCTTCAAGGTCCCACATTCCTCTGTCAGTAACTGAACACCATTATAATGTCTCCTCCTTAAGGTTTCAGTTTCTGAAATATGTCTGGATTCCATATCCAAAATTTCAGCAGCATGTAGTTCTTGCATCTGCTCAATTTTTTCAGTAAACTGACTGATTATTTTAGTGATTTCTTCTGAGGAACAGTCACTCTGTAAATCAATTTGGATTCCAGCATTTTTAACAAGAATATGTGGAGTCTGATTGCTGTTATTGACCTTGACAGTCCTGTTTGTCTGGGATGCAGAGCTTGTTCCTACTTTCACAGGAAGTTGCTCTAACATGCAAAACTTTCTGTTTTCTTGTAGTTCAATCTTATCTTCTTTCTCTAAGTGGGATAATTTCTCTTCTGCCTCTATGAGTTGATCCTTAACTTGGCTTAAATCTTTCTGAAGAGATGCCACATTTGCTTCTTTTACCTAAAACACAATGGATGGTAGAATATTCAGTTAAAAATTTTTCCATATTAAATTTTCTGTAATAAAAATAGAATCCAATGAATCATTCTGCTGCTTTCTAATGTTAAAAAAAGCAATCAACTCTGTCATTCACAATAAATGAAACTGTTCATGGTTTATATCAAGTCTATAATTTTTCTTCATGAATTTTACTATAATGAGATATTCGCAAATTCATAAATTAAAGAATAAAATTAAAAGTAGGTGAGAAAAAGTATACTTGATGATCATATTTAATTTTCCTCAGAATAATAGGAAAAATATTTCAGAAACACTCATAGTTTACATTTATATTCATATGTATGGCCACACAGTATTACAGAAGCATAATAATTTTATCAGCTTCTACTTTTGGTTCTCATAGATATATGGTCCTTTTAAACTCTTGTCTTTCTCCTACTTCATCAGCAAACTAGAGATTAAAAGTATTCTCCTTACAAAGATTCCCAAGGAAATCAAGCAAAAAGATGTTGACAAATTCTAACAACAAAATTTTTAATCAAATCCAGAAAAGACTTTTAAGTTAGCTTTTAAGTGGTGGATCTGGGTTTGTTTTACAGGAAAGAATATTCTTTGAAATGAAATTAAAGATAGGTAGAAATAAGTGAATTAGGAGCTAGGTTGTTTATCTTACCAAAAGCTCTTTTTCAAGTTTTTCTGCCTTTTCTTTATAATTGGTAAGTTCTTCTTTGGTCGGCAATGACTCAGTTCTAAGAGCCTCAAGTTCACCAAAAAGTCCACTCTCTTCACTGGTAGTAATTAGCTCAGTAGTTATCTGAATGGCAGTGGAAACAATATTAAACACATCATTAAAATATATATATATTAAGTTCATGGCACTCACACGTTCTAATACAACTTTCTCAGGAATGACTGCCTACAGATAAAAGAGGTTGCAATGATCAATGCTTTTCAACAAATAGGAACTCTTTATAAGAACCATCATCTTATATTCTTGAGACAATGATTCTCTTCTAGAGAAAAAACTGATTTCCTGGGAATAAAAGGTAATAAAACATGCTATTAGTATATATCCTAAAAATTTATAAATTATTATTGGAAAAATTCTTTGTTACCAGTCAAAAGTGCTTCATATTTATATCACTTTCCTCAAAAGAAATCAGGTGTACAAGGATTTTTCTTAGACGTTATTACATGGACAGACTCATTACTATTTTAATTATTTATTACTTACAATAACTTATGGTTCCAATGGGTAAGAGGAAAAAGCCTAGTAAACAGAGTTATTATCCTTTGCAAAATAAATTATATAATTATAGAATCATTATATATGAATTAATCTCCTGGTGTTTAGATAAACTGCACTTCTACTGTTCAAAAGTATAAATTTATAAAGTGAGAATTTGGGGAGAAAAAAGCCCCTGTCATATCTGTCACATGCTAAGAAATAACTCCAATTTCAGATCTTTGCATAATTAGACTCACAGAGGTCAAACACAAATTTTTACTAAAAAAGGATGAACTCTATTATCAGATGCAAAATTTGTAAAACCTAATGATTTGCTACCCACAAATTAATTCAGCAGATATATAGAAAGATCATATATTTTCTTTCTTTAAAGTCTGTAGTATTTGCAATGCTAATATATTTTGATATTTTTCATTATGTAAAAGAAATGTAATATAACATGCACTTTTGTTAAACTTAGTATCTCTTAGTTTCTTCTGCCTGCTCTATTTAATGAGAATGTTAAAGAAATAAATATTATGTTTGAAGACCAAAAAATAAAGTCTATGTCTATTTTCCTATTGATTGTAATATCAGTGTTAAGTTAAATTTGGCCTGAGGCTGTCTCTGTGACCTTGAGTTCCTATGCAAGGAACTGCAACCTAATTTAGTAGTATGTAAACAAATTGGAAACCTAATTTAGGAGTATAAAAAACAGCCAGGTCTCAGCTAATCACAAGCAGCCAACTGATCATTCCATGTCCAAATATGGGAAATGCCTAGCCATAACCAGTCAAACTATTTCTGTACTTTATTTGAGAGTTCTGTCTATAAAGATTCCCTGTTTATCACTGCACAGGAGAGCTCGGTGAACCTCCTCTGGTTCTGAGGGAGGCCCAATTCATGAAACGTTCCTTACTCAAACTTTTGTGTTTAGCCTGAAGTTTTTCTTTTAGCAACAACATCTTTTTATTAAAAAAAACCTAGCCAGGTGTAGTGGCTCAAGCCTATAATCCCAGTACTTTGGGAGGCCCAGGTGAGAGGAGTGCCTGAGCCCAGGGGTACAAGACCAGTCTGGGTAACTTGGTGAGACCTCGTCTCTACAATATATCAAAAAATTAGCTGGGTGTGGTAGCACGTGCCTCTAGTTCCAGCTATTTGGAAGGTTGAGGCAGAAGGATTGCCTGAGTCCAGGTCAATGATGACCGTGAGCATGCCACTTGCACTCCAGTCTGGGTAACAGAGTGAATCTCTGACACACACACAAAGACATTTTGAATAAATTCTTAGATGTAAACAGAGCACCATATTTAATTTAATAAATTAGCAATCAGCTTAAAGAACAAAAGAGCTGCTTGGGATATTTAAGTGAAAAAAATATCAAATACAAAACTAACCTTGAAACCTTCAAAATCTCCTTGAGGGCTTCTTTTCCTTTCTTTCCCTTCTTGTTCTTTCTCACTGTCCTCCAATAGCTTCTGTAGTTCAAGGAGTTTCTTTTCTTTTTCCAAATCATTTTTTACTGCAATTTCTACTTGTTCTTTTTCTAAAATCAAACGAGCATGCATTTTGACCACCTGACTTTCTAATTCTGATATTCTCAAGGTTAAAGCTGATACATTTGGCTCCATCTCATTTTCTGTTAGTTGAGTTAAATTATGTATATTTGTTCTTTCAGGTTCTGACGAAATTGTTTGTTTATCTTGACAGAACTTTGCATATTCCTGAACTGCTTCAAGTTGGACCTGGCACACAAGAGCAGCAGCTACTTTTTCCTCAAGAATTTTCTGTAGGTTTACAATCTTCTTTTGAAGCATTTCTGTTTCAGATTGGCCTTGTTCCTGTATGTGTTTTATTTGTTTATAACACCGGGTAAGTTCTAAATCCTTTGTACTAACAGTGCTTTCCAGTTGTAGCAACTTTGTTTCTAAACTACTTATGGAAACTTTGCTGTTTTCTTCAAAAGGTTTGAGGAAAATCTGACTTTCTATAGGTTTAAAAGCATCCTCAGGAAGGACTACTTCCAGTTCAAGTTTGTCTTCACTTAGATCATCTGCAGTCATGTTAACACTTTTCTCTGGTACACTTTGGATTTTTCCCATGTTTTCACGTTCTATCTTTAAGCTGCGTAATTCTTGTGTTAGCTGACTTACTTTAAAATTGGTTTCTTTAAGTACATTTTTTGTGAAGGTCATTTCTTTATTAGTGGCTTCTACTTGCTGTGCCAAAGCCAATTTTTCAGCTATAACCATATCCAACTGATGTTTTAAACTGACTGATTCTTCTGGGAGTGAATTAGCATCTAATGTCTTCTGTTCAATTTTTGCCAATTCTTGTTGAAGTTTTTCAATCACTTCATTAAGCTGCTCTATCTCTTCTTCTCTAGTTTTCTTTATACATTCTTGATCACTCATCAAACATTCTATTTGGCTTTCAAGATCCCTTATCAATTTATTTTTCTCTTCAATAATCTATTAATTAACAAAAAAATTAACACACATAATAAATATGCATTCATATTTTGAAAGTTTTATCTTATTTTAGGGCAGGACCTAAAAAAGATGATCACACAGAAAAATAATATACTACTACTCAGATCTTACTTTAATTTCGAATATATTACAACACCTCCCCCATCAATCAAACAGGTACTTGGAACTTCAATCAGAAAGTTCTGTCAAGTGTAAAGTGATTTCCGCTTTTAGTAGCTGATTTCCTGTTAGAAAAATAGTTATCAATACATTTCAACTGAAAAGCATGAAGTATTAAAATAAAATCTACAATAGATGGTACCCAAAGATAATTATCCTGTTTAACTTACATTAAGTAGAGGAATTTATAATACATTTGGTTAGAATAATATGGTAAAATTTAAGTCACAGAGCATCCCTAAAAAACATTAAACTCTTTAATATTATTAGGAAGGGATAAAAATACACATATATTATTAAGACAGTGTCTTAACTAACAAAATTAATAAAAAATAATTAAGATTTTTTAAAAATTTCAGTGGAAAACTGAAAAATGTAACCATTTTGCCCTTTAGAATTCTGGCTCATGTCAATTTCAGATAACAAACAATTTTAAATGAGTATACCTTGTTATCTGCTGTAATTTCAAGTTGCTGTTGAAGTTTTGCAATTTGTTCATTTAATTGGTCAATTTCTACTTCTTTTTCCTGTATTTTTTGAGCAAATTTCCCAAACAGCACATGTTGGTCCTGAGTAGACACAGCATCAGATGCCTTTATGACAAATCCTAGTTTCTCCATTTCATCCTAGGATTAAAAATGACTATCACAGTTAGATGTACCATTACATGTCATTTTCAGAACATTCTTTCAAGTAACTCTTAACAAAAGATAATAGTGCCTATAATGTACAAATGAGAAAGATTAGTAACTATATGGTTATTGTAAATCAATAATTCTTAAACTATTTTCATCAAAGGCCTCAAAATTTTCATTTATTTATGAATTAAAATGTTTAAGTTGGGTTGAAAAAAAGTTCCATGCAAATGCTAATGTTCCTCTGTTAAGTATTACTTAGCTGTTGGACTTAGCAAATATTTAATAAAACTACACAGGACCAAAACTATAAATTACTTACAGATAAAAGCTTTTCAAACTAATTACCTTAAATAACTTGTTTTCTTGTTCGAGTTCTTGTAGGCGGGTAGTAGATTCCTTTTTCTGTATTTCTAATTGCATATGTAGTTGCTGAACCTCTTCATTCTTATTTTCCAGTTCTTCTCTAAACTGTTCTAATTGTTCTTCTAAGTTTGTGATCTTTAATATCAAAATTATCAAAAGTAAAGAGAAAAAAGTTTATACAAATGTGTATTGGCCAAGATAAAATGAAAGGTGCTGTATTAGCTTTACAAAGTTTGTATGCTTAAAACACGAGTCATAAGAATAAAAAAAGGTGGTTTCTAACCCCAGTTTAACTTTGTGGTTCCTAGACAAGCTCAAACTAAACACCACTGACCTATACACCCTAAGCAGAGAGGAGACCTTCTAAGGAACAATACAAGCAGTCTTCTACTAAAACATCCTCTCATGAAGCAGAAAAGAATCACAGGAGGAACGGGAAAATTCCACATATTTTATCTTAGTTTATGTTAAATTGAGATGCTATCCGAAGCCTCAGAAAAGTTGTAGAATTAAGTCAGTTTTTTAGCCACCAAGTAAGATTAGCTTAATTTAGTACACAAATATCTAATTAACCCACTGAAAGTTTGGCTGTCATGTAGCTTGTTAACCAGAAGGAGGAAACTAAGTAGAAATGAAGACCAAGAGAACTTTAGGTCTGAATTACAAAAACTCTTAAAATTCAAGTTAATTATATAATTTTAGGAGAAAATTGGAGAGCTCCTATAGGTAGGACAATAAAAATTTATTAATTTCTGTAGGTGGATTATCAATAATAGTAAAGCAACTGCTCTTTGATAGTTATACAGACTGAAACTAATGATGAATATTAAGAACTAGTTATTTTTATATTTAAAAAACTGTTTTTGATTGAGGACAGTAATAGTCATTTAGCTCATTTTTGTAGTAACTTAATAAATACTGAATGCATGGATTTCCAAATGTATCTTTACCTGATCGTCAGAACTGCTGATCAAAAAGCACCCTAAGATGCAGAAACAGTATTTAGTGACAGCTGGCTCAGAGAGCAGCCTATAAATCATTTAGCCTTAGAAGGTGAAAGAGGGCATATGCTGATTACATGCTGACACACCACATAATTAGAATCATATCCTAGCACCAGCAAGCCAAGACCTTAAAAATCAGCTTAGTATTTCTTAAACGGAAATAGTATCAATACTAGTAATAATAACCATGATTTATAAACAATTTACTACTAAGTACTGTGCAAAGTACTTTATGTGTATTATTGTCTTAAAACCCTATAACAACCTTATGAGATCTCTTCTGTGTCCTCATTTCAGAGATGAGGAAAGGAGTCACAGAGAGGAGGAGTAACTTGCCTTGAAGTCACACAAATAGTATGTGGTAAAGCCGGTTTTTGAACCTGGGAAGTTTGCCTCTGGAGCCTTTCCTTCTAAACTATCATTTATCCTGCTTCTAATAACTAATGTCTAAGACTTACATTTAAAAACGTCTCTCTCACACTGGTTATTAGACTCAGCAGATACCGAAATACATTTGGTGGTTATATATGAATAATTATTAGGTTGTTGAAAACTGTACGATTATATCTTTTTCAAAGTTATCTAGCGTAATAGTGTTCATAACTATCCCTTTCTACTACTTTTAATGACAAAATATTATTGTAAAATAAACACACACATAGTTATTCAAGTTCAAAATAGCTGCCATAGCCGTGGCATTGGTGGTTCAGTGGGAGAATTCTCGCCTGCCAAAATTGCTGTCCTACTTCATGTAACATTTATTTATTTATATTATACAATAGCTTATGCCCAAAGTCTTAACTCTGTGATACTTGTGAGCCTTGCTACTCAAAAGTGTGGGGGGTGATATCTGAAGCTACAGAATTGACATTGCATGGAAGCATGGTAGATATGCAGAATGTTATGTCACACCCCAGAATTATGTTTCAATAAGATTCCTGGGTCATTCACACGCATACTGATGTTTCAGAAGCACTGGCCTAAAAACACTAACTTTCCTATTTTACGTAGCTGAAGTTGAGGCATCATATCAGATATGTTAATCTCCCAAAATGATACTATGGGTCATTCTTTCCTCTTATTCAGCAAGTTCCAGTTTAGTGCAATGCTCTCTTATTGCTGAGTCTATAATAACCCCAAACCAGAAGAATATTAGTAAGATTTAAAAACAGAGACTGGTAGCTTTTTATTTTAGTCTTGTTTATTTACCAACTGAAATTATCATTTAGATTAATTTGCAACTGTTTTCTTTTTTTTAATGTTTTAATCTCTTTCTAATGTATATATATATATCTCCATAATTAGACAGTAGATTCCTTGAAATGCATTGTTGGTTGTACAACTGGACAGCAGTCTCCATATGCAAAAGAGCTCAATAAATGTTGAATGACAGTCTTGAATACTTCTCACCAACAAGATAAAACAGGCCCCAGTGCTTGGGCAGTAAAGCATCACAAGAGTTCCAAACTCAGACATCTAAAAGGAATTCTTGTTCAACCAGTCAGTGTGTGACCATGAGGAAGTTATTTGGTCTCTTTTAAGTATCAGTTTACACATCTGCAAAATGGAGACAATAGAGCCTGTCTCCAGGGAGAGTGTAAGGATTGACAGTATAAAGCATTTAAAATACTTAGCACTTTCTAGTACAATCCTCGAAAAAATTATTATTATTTATTATTGCTATCTGTAAGCTAGATCTCATTAGCTCTATAAAGAGCTAAAATCCATTAAAGGCATCTTTTTCTACAAGAAATATTTCTATCTATCTCCTTATTATTCCCTGCTTCCTATAATCCTGAAACTCCTTTCTTTTAAACTTTTCATCTCTTTCTACTCATTCTGAATTTCTAAATATTCTAAAAAAATTTTTAAAATGTATACAAATTTAGGCTCCGAGAGTAGTGGAAAGTATCTCAAATATAATGATACACAGGGACATCTCATGTTTACACACCATTAGATATCTAAAAATATTTGCCTAATTTTCAGGAAAAAAAGCTTTAAGTTATTTTCACTAAAAGACATGCTTCAATTCTATGTTTCCGTCTCTCAGTTTCCAGTTACAGGTAAGTGAATGGGTTCTGAAGAGGACTTGTTAATGTTATTAAAAACTAGTAGCAGAGGAGGGTGTCAGTTTAAACTCATTCAGTATTTCTGGCCCTGTCTCATCTGTAAAAACTGGAGATTAGTTGGTAGATGTTCTCTAAAGGTTTTTTATAATTTTAAGCAACTACAATTCTGAGTAAAAGGTAGACAGTTATTAGATACTTAATTCAAGAATTGAAGGTATTAGTAGTGCCATATTACATTTAAAAGAGAATAAAAAATATAAAATTAGTAAGCTTAATAAACTACCCAGAGTCAACTATCATTCTTTTAGGTCTAGTGTGAAGGTTCATCTTTTGTAGGGAACAGATAATTTACTTATTTAGCTTAAGGTAAATCTTTAAATGTTCATTCTTTCAAACAGAAGTGGTTTTATATAAACAAAAGTACTCTTCGCCTCCCACAAGAAAACCAAAACTCAGAATAAACCAGAGCCTCTCAGATAAGCATTACTTAGTATTATATGATGTTAAGAAAATAATTCTTCTCAAGGAAATGATCATTTCAACTATAGTCATATATATAGACATCTTTTGTTGTTCTCTAAACTACTAGTTCTCTGAGCTGTAGTTTTAGCTGATGTTTAAATCATTCTTGTATTTTTCAAAGAATTTATTAACATTTCTATATTGTTTAAGTTTAATAAATATCTATCAACATTAATTAAATGTCCTGAGAATATTATGTAGAAACAATTGTGTATCATTAGACAGAGTATGATATGTTTTAGAAAAACTATAAGTAGACAAAGGCTTAACTTATAAATTAATTGGCAAGTTGAAATTACCACTACTCTAAAAGTAAGTTTTTCTTTTCTTTTTTTATTTTTTATTTTTATTTTTTGAGATGGAGTCTCACTCTGTTGCCCAGACTGGAGTGCAGTGGCTGCTCCCGGCCACCAAAGCCTCGACCTGCTGGGCTCTGGCGATCCTTCCGCTTCAGCCTTCCAAGTAGCTGGAACTACAGGCGCGTGCTACCACGCCCGTTTAATTTTTGATTTATTGTGGAGATGAGGTCTCGCCAAGTTGCCCAGGCGGGTCTTGAACCTGCGGGCTCAGGCAATCCACTCACCTCAGCCTCCCAAAGGCGCAGGATTACAGGCTGAGCCACCGAGCCCAGCTTATTTTTTATGGCTGGCAGGGAGTAGAGAAACACAGGAGAGTTTTATATAATTACTATTAACTGTTTGGGAGATTTTTTTGTTTTTTTTTTTAGAAAGAAGGATTTATTGAGAGAACAGAAGAGCTCCCACAAGGGGAGGGAACCCAAAGGGGTTGCCCTAACTTTTTGTTCTAAAAAAATATTTTGTATATTGAAAAACAGCACTATAATCTTCCAGGGCAATACAACTTTAAAAAACGAAATAAATCCACAGCAAAGCAGCAATAATCCAATGCTCATGCTATGGTTAGGAGAAAAGAAAGATATTGCCCTTTATCCAAACACTACTGTATCTCCCCACCCTCTTTATGTCTGCTGAATTGTCCCTCTTCTGTCCTCTTAAAATTCATTCGTTTTATACTGCCTATTCTCTCCACCCAGAATATGTTCTTTCAAATCAGCTTATTTGTTCATATGCGTATTGCCTTCCAGGTCAATTTAGACATTCAGTTGAGAAACAGTCTAAACTTTGGTTTGGATCATAAACTCCATTCTGTTAAATGACACTTTCAAGGCAAATGATTTTAAATGATTCAAAGCACATGTTGTCACTTAAAAATAAACTCCTTACCTCTTTTTCCTTCCTGTCTATGGCATCTCGCTCAGCTTGCAACTGTACTTCTAGGGACAACTCTGCTTTAGCTTCTACAGCTCCAAACTGTTTTCGGTCATCTACCTTTAAATACATAAAAATCTTCTCAAAATTTCAGACATTAATCCTGATTACCCATTGTTTTGGAGAAGTAACAATTCTATTTCTCCAGTTAGAAGTAGAAAATCTAAATTAGTGAATAATCAAAAGGTTACAGATATTTTTTCAAATGTATTTTTCATAAATTCAAATAGGAATTTTTGATACTGAAAATTCATTCCTCAGATAAAATGAAGGAATCCCCAATCCACCCTCCCAAGCTTTTTATCCTGCTCTTCTTTCATTTATTTTTGCTTTCTTCAGTCTAATAGAGATGGATTTCATTACTTCTTAGTCTGCGGTAAATCTCCATACACTGGTGTCAATTTTTCACATAGCTACTTTGATGGCTAAAAGGGTAATTAATTCTTCTGGTTCAACTATTCTTCCTTTCTCAGGACTAAGGTATGCAAATGATAGTAGGAAATAAGAATAAACAAATTACTATGATGTCAACAAGGGCATAAAGACATATTATGTAGTAAATAATATCAAGCAGACAATTTTTTATTTAAAAGAACTGATATTCATGAAAACGCTTAATAAAGTTAGCTCAAATAAAACATCCCACCTTTTGAAAAGTGTCTGTAATGAGTAAGGCTTGCTCCAGTTCCCTGACTCTGAACTCCAGTTTCTCAATTTCTTCATTTCGCTCTTGTATATCCCTTTGAAGCTGCTCTTTAGAAAGCAAAAGTTCACTGCATTTGTCTGTTTTTTCTTTCAGATGATTTGTTAACTGTTCAACCTGAAATGTAAAAAGTCAAAAATATGGCTTTAAAAATTTTCACCCAGTTCTTAACTACAAGTTGAATATCCCTAATTTGAAATCTGAAATGCTCCCAAATTCTCAACTTTTGTTTTTAAGAGATGGAGGTCTCACTGTGTTACCCAGGTTAGAGGGCACTGGCTATTCACAGGTATGATCGCAGTGCCCTTTAGCCTCAAGCTCCTGTGCTCAAGTGTTTCTCCTGCCTCAGTCTTCCAAGTAGCTGGGACTACAGGTACGTGTTACCATGCCCAGATCAAAATCCAAAATGTTTAAAGCACAGACATGGCTCTCAAAAAAATATTCATGGGAACATTTCAGATTTGGATGCTAAACCAGTAAGTATAATGCAATTATTACAAAATTTTCAAAAACTATTTTTAAATGCTATGCTAATTACATTTTAGATAAGGACAGCAACTACTGTCTCCAACAAAGGTGACATTTTCCAAAGTGGTAAAACTGAGCAACATTAGTAAAAGAGAAATAATAGTGCTTTCATATAATCTTTTTAAAAAGTTCTTTCTCTAAAGACTAAGACTTTCTCAGCTAGGAAGAGGAAAAAAGGTAGCATTTTAAATAATGCTGTATTATTTAGTAGCACAACCACACTGAGACCTAATAACAACGACAAATTTGCAGAGTACTAACTTAATCTTGTGTGAGATAAAATATCCCAAATAATTATTTCGTGGATTATATTTTGCTAACAGTCGCTTGGAAAGGTTTTTCAACATACACATCGCCTCTTCCCAGAATAGAGATAAGGATGCAAGGTGGTGAAAGGGATCTGTGTCTTGAAAGTTTCCTAGTTTTGGTTTCTCCACTACCAAAAATAAATGATAGAGTGTTCCAGGACTTATTCTCTAAGACTGATATGCAAGTCCCTTCAAGTGAATGGTTCCATGACATAAAAACACAGGAAGGATTAATATAAGTTGGTATATTATAATATAAAGTTATGAGATTAGATGTGATGGTAAAAAAATAAAGGAATTCTCTTTTATCTCAGTGAAATACTTTGAGGAAGTTACCTGAAAATAACAATTATTCCTTAAAATATTAAAAGAGTGCAAGCTGAACTATAGCTGTAGGTTCAAGGATGACAGCAATGAAGCCACTGAGGAGAAATTTAACAATAGCAGGTTGACTAAGACTTGGAGTGAGATCAAGAGAAAAAGTAACAAAATAGATACAATGAAATAGTGCAATATATAACTACAGTTAGTTTTTTTGGATCCTGAGAAAATCAGGACTCAGAGCTGGAAGATAAGGAGAACATAAATGGATTACAATGTTCCTGGAAAAAAGCAAATATGTGCATTCTGTTAGTTTCTTAAAGCTTCATGAATGAGGCAGATCAACCTCTTTAAATACAAGAAAACTATGTAAAAGCAAATGATAGTCTAAGTTATAGAGCTTAAATATTCTTTTGAATTACAACAAATAACTATTTTTTAAAAGCTAAAAATATGTTTGTTAAGAACAGGGCAATAGCTACACACTGGAGAGGGTTGACAACTTTTATAGTACTCTAGCAGGTTAGCATTTTAGTTCAGTGAGTTTAAAGGCACTTTATACTCTGCAATTCTTCTAGATAAATTAAATGAAGTAAACTGCACAGAAATTACAATTGAAATAAAAATGGTTTCCAGAAATAATACTCGTTAAATTAAGTGTTCACTGTGTGACAGAACAACACACTCCTATTATGTGGGTGGTATTGCAATCTATTTTAGAAAGGAATAAACAGAGATTTGAGAGGTCATGTCATTGTTACATACCTATTAAATGGTACAGCCCTGATACAAACTGGGATTGCTTTACCCTAAGCACAATGTCTTTATCACCATGGCAAGTAATCTTTAGAAATATATATAGTGATTCTTCCCTCATTCATGTAGTATTCATTTGGTAAATGTGGTAGAATTCTGATTGTTTCTATATGAGGAAAATATACAGTTGTGGTAAGAAAGAAAAAGCTGGAAGACTGGTTACGAGACTACCACAATGATCCAAGTAAATGATGATGTCAACTAGAAGTTACCTTTTTTAATTTTTTTTTTTTTCTGATTCAGAGTCTCACTCTGTCATATAGGCTGGAGTGCAGTCGCATGCTCATGGCCACTGCAGCCTCGACCTGCTTGGCTCAGGCTATCCCTCTGCCTCAGCCTTCCAAGCAGCTGGAACTATAGGCATGTGCCACTACATTCAGCTAATTTTTAAATTTATTACTGAGATGAAGTCTCGCCAATTTACCCAGGCTGGTCTTGAACTCCTGGGCTTAGGCAATCTCTTCTTGCCTCCCAAAGTGCTGGGATTATAGGCATGAGCCACTGCACTCAGCCCTGACAACTAGAATTTAAGGAGATGAATGGAAGTGGAAAGAATGGAAAGATGTAGTGCAACCTAATCCACCAATGTGTTAGAAGTAGGAGTTGAGAAAAAGAGGGGAAGCAAGGGTAATTTTAGGTCTCAGCAAGAAGAAGGAACATGTTTCATTCTTGTCTTTCACTGGTAGGGGCTAATCAGGAATCAAGAGCCCTCTTTTGGACATGTTAATTTTGAGATATATACGTAGAGATAAAGTAGGGAGCTGAATATTCAAGGCTGTAGCTCAAAAGAGAAATCAGGGATGGAGCTACAAATTTGGGGTCATTTATGTACAATGGTCTGGGAAGAAAACACAAATAGGGTCCCAAAGCTAAATCTTGAGGTACAACATCATTCATTTTGGTTAGGTAAGGAAAAAAACAGTAGAGAAGAGAAACCAGGGGAATAGGTATGTCACAGAAGCCAAGAGGAGGAAGAAGGCTGTAATAAATGCCTCTGAATGGTTGAGTAGGATGGAGAAAAACAGGTGATTATTTTATACAGTCATGAGGCTCTGTGCAACCTTCACAAGAACAGTTTAAATGGAGTAGAGAGTACAAATCCCGCTGAGATATAAGGGATGGAGAAACATCACTGGAGTGGACTGAGAAGAGAATGGGAAACAGGAAAGCAAAGAGTGAATACAGATACTTTTTGATCAGTTTTGTTGAGAATGGGAATAAAGAAATAAGCAGGAAAGTTTATTTAACTGGACAATGCTAGAAGATATATACGAATGGGAACAATTCCAAATTTCAGTACAAACAATTTTTAGGGTTAATGACCTTCTCATGTTAAGTAATATTTTATTTTCTGATTTTGAAGACATATACAATACACAAAATTCACTTTTATGTTTTTCATGATATGCGTTTTATTTTACACTTGATACAAATTTCCATAAAGCAGGCACTTTCAGCTAAGTTCTTACCTCTCTAGTTTGATGTTCACTGATAGGCTGGAATCGAGGTACAACCTTAAGTTGCTGTTCTAGTTTCTGTATTTCCTGTTGGAATACATCTCTCTCATGTTCTCTATCAATGGCTTGCTCCTAAAGTTTAATAATACATAAATAATAATATTAATAGTAACTGAAGAAACAATATTTGGTGAGGCTATTATTTCTCTTACTTAAATTACAGGTTAATTTTGTCTGAAGACAAAATTGTTTTGTTTGAAGACAAAGGACTGATTAGCCATGGTATATTCCAAACCACAAAGGTCTAAAAAGATAGGTGGTTTTTTGGGTTTTTTTTTTTTGGTATGGTATATAGTCTATTTGGGATCTTCAACAAAAATTTGAGTATTTAAATATTATTTGAAGTACATTTCTTTTTTAATTCAAGTAATGATAAACACAGAATGAAAAAAATATTCACATTCAAATGAATTAAATTTTTTGGAACAAAGGAGGAATACTACTATAAAATAAGTGAAACAAATTGGTAAATAAATTTCTTTAATCCTAACCTACATTTTATACCAGAAAATTATAAGATGAGTAAGAATCTGATTCTCCAATCTATGGAGAAAACATTCGGCTTAAATAAAGCCCCAAAGAAAAAATATCCATGTGAAACTGGAGACTTAACATCTCTTTGGAACACAACAGCATGACAATGGTTCCAGTCCCATTCTAATACACTCATAGCTACCTGGGTGTATCTTTTGAAGGTGAAGCAGTGGTGGTTCATTATCTTAGGATCCTTACCTGCTCTGCCTCTGGTTATACGATGAGGTTCTTAACACTAAATTTGGAAAGGCTAACTGGTAGGGCTTATTCATAGTCTGACTGTACTGATTGTAATTCTGATTGCTGCACAACAAAAATTTGAATAATTTGTAGAATATACAATCGATCAAACATTATGCAAAAGATTTTCATTATTTAAAATCCACAAGTAGCATTCTACTAAGAAAATCAACAATCAAACTGAGAATACTTACATCTAAAAATTTTCTCATTTTTTCTAACTGCTTTTCCAGTGCTTGGTTTTGCTGTCTTAAATCCATTAGTTCAGCATTTTTTTCCTGTTCCAGCTCTATAAACCTACTGACTTGCTCCTCGATGTCTATTTCTAGAGCTTTCACTTGTTTTTGAAGGTCATCACGCACTTTCTCGGCTTGACACTGTACTTCTAGTTTTTCTTTCATGAGTTTTTCTGTCTCCTCTAGTAATTCTATATATAAATGCAAGAGGATATGAGTTAAATCTCAATGACTGATATTTTGATGATGAGAGCACCTGTAACTATGTCGAAATTCTACCTTCATAAAAGACAGAGAATATATATATATATTTTACACTGGGGTCTCACTCTGTTGCCCAGGCTCAAGTGCAGTGGCACAATCACAGCTCACAGCAACCTTGACCTCCTGGGCTCAGACAATCCTCGCTCCTCAGCCTCCCGAATAGCTGGGACTATAAGCACTCACCACCATGTCTGGTTAATTTTTTTATTTTATTTTTGTAAAGATAAGGTTTTGCTATGTTGCCTAGGCTGGTCTGGAACTCCAGGGCTCTAGCAATTCTGCCACCTTGGCTTCCCAAAGTGCTAGGATGACAGGTGTGAGTCACAGTATCTGGCTGAGAATTGTTTTAAATACACATGAAAAAGCAAACATTGTCTTATGGAATTATCAAAATCTAAACATATTACTACATAAGTAAGCAAGATAGTATTGGTAATATTATACATAATTAACAAAAAGAATATGTCCTTCCACTAGAAATAATATTTTTGTGAAAATAACATAGCAAATGACAAAAAAAACCTATTTTCACTATTAGGAGAAGAATAAAGTCCAATTAAATTCAAGCATAGAACAAACTCACCATTTTCACTACCTCAGGCAAAAATCAATTCACTCCAAGCCTATAAAGTCAATTTTATATGCACACAAAATACACATGAACATCAAGCACTGTAAATCTTTAACCAAGGCAAATAAGAGTTTCAGAAAAAAAAATACAACTATAACAGAAATTTCCTGTTAGTCTTTATCCTTATTAGAGCCATATTCCTGAGTTGCTTTTACATGCTTATGCATATGTCAATCAAGGGAAACTGGAAATGTCTAATAAGCAGTGTGGTATGGTGCTTAAGAGCAGACCGCGGGTCCAAATTCTAGCTCTGTAACTTACATCACTTGTGACACCTGACTGGCTGTCCTTCAGTTTTCTTATATGTAAACTGGGGATAATAATATTACTGACCTCTCAACTTTATTTTGGGATTAAATGAGTGAGTTTATATATGCAAAGAACAGTGTCTGGGGTATGGTAAGCACTAGGTTAAGTGTTAGTAGTTATTATTATTATGAACACATTAGTAAAGTATGTATGGCAAAAGTAAAACAATCCTGTAATGTAGAAAATGGAAAGAATATATCCCTAGAGTCTTTAAATTAACTGGTGTGCCACCAATGTACTCAGGAATCTGTAGAAAACAGCTTTCCTTTTAAAACAATACTTATATTAGATGTTAATATAAAAGTACATCAACTATAAAGACTCTTAATAAACTTTATTGATCCTTTTGCTACCATCATCTTGCATATTGATTTAGGAGCATTTTGAAAACTTGTAGATTTTAAGAGTTTAATATATTTGTAAAAGAAAAAGTTTGTTTTTTTTAAAACAGCATTTCCTTAGAAAAATCAAAACATTTCTAAGCTCTGTGCAAAACAGACATCATAAGATGATGGTCACTATGAATCTCAGCTGTTAATTTCAATAAAAATATGTATTTTATTGCTAAGAAAAGGTGTTCTGACATTGTTAAGAGAAACTGTAAGTATAAAACACAATTTCAAAACTGCAAAATTAGAGATGTTAGTTGGTTGAAAATCCAAAATCACCCATACAGTGGAGTTGTAAGTCTATCACCCAAATTGGCCACGCAATTGTATACACACACCTGTTCCAGGTGCTGCATCAACTGCAGCATCTACTAGTTCTAGGAGAAAAAAAAAACAAAAAACACAACAAAAATATAATTTATATGTCTTCTATTTCCTGAAATAGGATAATGCATACAACACACACACACACACACACACACACACACACACACACACACACACACACACATACACACACACTAAAGGCAAAATCTGAAGTCACTGATTATTATAATTGCTAATATTTTGAAAAGTTCCAATATTTCTTGAATATCTATGGCATGTATTCTTTCCACATGTAAAAATTCCAGCCCTAAACCTGTGTTAAACTAATTTGAGCCGCCAAATAATTTCACCATACTGCAAAAATGCATGCTGTATTTCTAAATTGATAAAATGAAATCAGTGAAACTACACATCTATAATTAACTACATGTATAATATAAAAGTGAGATGACATGATAAGCAGAACTTAAAAATCACAAAGACTGACATTTTACTATTTAACAAAAAACTTGAACTTCAAGATATTACTTACTTTCTAATTTAAGGAAAAATTAAAGGCTATTTGTAAATTTAAATATTCTATGAACTCCTATTTAGATGACCTTTTCAATTTAGTCTGCTTACAAGTCAAAATCCACTCTACCCGCTCAGTCAGCCTAGTGCCACGTCAGTGCTCTTAGTTATTTAATCCAAATATACATTTTTGCAGCCTCTCTATTAAAAGAACTAAATCTTATACAGTTTAAGAAATATCCTGCCTTATTATTTGTGGCTTTCTCTTGAGGCTGAGGTTTGAGTATAAATAAAGAACTATCTTTTCCTCTTAACATCTGCCAAAGGAAAAATAAAAAGAAAATCCTGATTCTGCAACATTGACTAGTAAGACATTCACCTATAAGGGAGATTTTCTTATGATTTTTCAAATATCTGTACAAAATACATGAATAACAGCATTAAAAGAGGAGAAAAGGCTACTTTAAACTAGAGGAAAGTTTTATACAAGTTCTGAAAATACACACGTTGTTCAGCTGGGCCAGCCTCTGCTTTCATAGCTTCCTTTTGTCTGGACAGTAATTCTCTTTCTTCTTGAAGTTGCTGCTGTTCTGCTTCCAATTCTTGCAATCTATTACTTGTACATAACAACTCTTGCTCAAGACGATCTATTACATCAGTTTTTTCCTGAATTTGCCTTTCAAAAAGAGACTTTTCATCTGCATAGCCATCAATAACACCTATAAAATAAAATGAACAGAGAATGGAATTATAATGCAATTCAAATTTAACCACTAGGTTTTAATATAAACAAAATTTTAAATCATTCCAACCTATTAAAAGGATTGAATGAATTTGCTGCTGACTGCAGCTACTAGTCTTTAATACGGTACATTCAATGTAGCCTTTTTTCTTGTTTGCCATTGTGCATAAATATAAAGTTTTTCTAAACTTTCTAGTACTTTGCTATACTAAAGTATGACATCATATAGGTTTAAATTATTTTATTAAACAGATATGAATAGATAGGTTACTGAAAAGTTTAATATAAATTAGATGCTTGTGAATTGAATCACATTTTACATATACTAGAGAATTTTAAATATACTAGAGAGTATTTTAAGTAATTCTAGTAGGCCAAAACCCACAACAGCAGCATAAAGAAAAAGAGTACATGGCTTTAGAGTTTTGAAGCCTAGAATCATCATTTAATGGTGACTTTAAACAATATAACACATCTTTTAGTTTCAGTTTTCCCACCTTTAAATTACAAGAGCTGTTTTAAGATGGTGAGATTATGGTAAAGACTTACTATCATCCATATATGTATTTTCTAAAATTTTTATTATTTCCAGTAATTCTATATACTCCTTATATAACCAAATATATTCTCTCTCTCTCTCTACACACACACACACACACAAACACACAAAAATACACAAATATATATACAAACTCTTTTTAAAATTGGAAGGAACCTTGAAGACAAACCACAACAACTTTGAAACAGTCACCCTAAATTAGAATAGACTGGTAGCTTTCAAGCCTGGCTGTGCATCAAAATCTCTATTTTAAGACTGAATTTTCTCTACCCTCAGTTGTCAGTGGCCAAGTACTCACCCTCAGCCTTACTGAGCTCCACAGCCAGCTGTTCTCTGGCCCTGGATTCTTCATGAAGACGCTCTCGCAGTTCTTCCTGACACTTAAGGCACTCTGTGGCTTCTTGTTTCTGTCTAAATGACTCACGCATCAACTCTGTCTGTGTAATTTTTGCATGTTCAAGCTGAAAAAGGAGGAAAAGAATACACGGAAGAAGATAAAGTGTGGAAATACTAGTGTCATTCGCCATTAGCACTTCAAAGAAGGGGGATTTTAAATTATTGAACTACAGTCATTTAAATATTCCCAGTACAGGCTAATATTGGCAAGTAGGATAAGTCATTGTAGACAAGTAGATTAGTTGTGCAGTTTTTCATTAAGAGATGAATTCTAGTTTTACTGGACAAAAGAATATACTTTTCTTGCTGGAAATCAACCACTTTAAATCAACAGATGTATATTCTATCATATAAAGGAATATATAATGTTAATAAAGCACAGGCTTCTACTCTGTTTGCTAAAGAAATTATGTAACTGTGGTCTATGATACACTTTATTTCTTTTATATTTAATACTTATTGATTGGGACTCCTACAATATCTACTGTATACTGGGGGGAATTTAATTATACATGATTAATACAATGGCATCAATTAAACTCATAGTGGCGCAACACAATTAAATTACATTTATAATCCATGTGCTTTAACTAAAAACTATATTTCTGTCCATTTGTGAAACTCAAGAATATTTGAATTTCACAGACTCTATGAATATCAAACTTACTTTTAAAAGCTTAGAATGTAGAGGAAGCATGAACTATAAACATAGTTTATGATACACATTGACTACATTCTTTTTTTTTTCTTTAATAGAATTGTGGTTCAGAAACAGTAACTACATTCTTAACAATTTTTAAGATGGTAGTACAGACTCAAGGCCAAAGTTTTCTGATTTAGTCACTGTTACTGCATCAGCTGTATGAAATTGCAGAAAAGCACTGTCTCTATCTTACTATTCTGGGTTTCTGATTATCAGTACTAGTACTTGCTTATCCCTTTTTGTGTAAACAATTACCTGAGGGGGGGAAATAAGCTCAAATGTTTCTAGTACTTAGTCCAAAATTTTTAGAAAGAAACATATATTAGTAACAAGTTCACAACAATGTTATAAGAATTTGTAAATTTATACATAAAGTACTCTGAGTCAGCAAGATAGTACCACCATGTTTTAAGCCTAAAATATGATCAAATATATCTCCAGGCAGACAGTGTTGGGAAAAACAAATATGATCAAAAGTAGTGGTTTCTAATTTATAGTCAGATATCAGTAATATATTATAAAAGTATAATATTTAATAATACTTTATTCTGAAACTAAAGACTTCTGCTCTTCAGATCTGCTATGGTATTTACCACAGCAAATGAATTTTAGAATTATTAAAGCTTTTTGTGGTCACTCTAAATCAATTTCTAAAATGTCCAGTATGCAATTATTCTTATTGCACTGGGATGCCTTAAATATCATTTACAACTTAGCATTTGAAAACAATATGAATATACACATAAGATTCAATGGAAAATTACACATAAATTTTAAATCATAAATTACTTCTTAAAATATTTGTGACAATATGTTGTTACCTCAAAAAGGATAAAACTTTACAAATATTTTTACTTTTTTTTAAACTGGCAAAACAGTATTTTTCTTCTAAATGTGAATATATATTACTTTTTATTATAAAGAAACATAACCATAAAGTGTGAACTAATTTATATACTACTCTCTTGAATTTACAGTCACAATCCATGTTTTAAAAATATACCAGTTGCTTTTACATATACATATACTGTTTTTCTGTACATCACATAATGATTGCCTACTGAATACATATAATTAAAAAGGATATTAATTTTTTTCTTTTCAAATTTACTGTAAATAAGTATTTGCTTCTAAGTTCTACTTTTTAAAAGATTTAACCAGCCTTATACTGCATATTTACCATAAAAACCATAAGAAAAAACTTCAGTTTCATAAAATAAAACCAAAAAAGGTAGAATAATCAAATACAGTAAATACAGCAAACAAATTTCATTTATTATAGTAGCAGATGATCTCATCTTTATTGGGATTAAGAGATTCCTTTAAATGGTAATCTAAATACTTCGGACTTTAAAAAATTTATTCCATCTAGTTAAGGTATCATTTATTTTTAATATCTATTCTAATATGAAGCATATAAAGATTTCATATCTATTCTAATATGAAGCATATAAAGATTTCATATTCAACATTTTAAAAGTATTTAAGAAACATCATTGCATTAAAAGTGTATAAAGGACCAGCAAATATTCTGACGCTTTAGTATAAAAGTTGCAGGAGAGGTAACAAAACTATTCTGAAAACCATCTGGTTTGTTAAATATTAGCTAGTATATTATAGTTAATGCCATGAAAGTCATAAAGAGTGCTGAATAGCTTCTAATTATAGTGAGTAACCTGTAGTGAATCATTCAAAACATATTTAAGTATCAAATAAACCTGATATACTAAATATGCAGAGATCTTTATGCTACTCTTATCCTTTACAATGTTTATAAAATACATATCACATAAAAAGCATTAAAGGGTGCTGTTCCACAAAATTTGTAGGCATATGAAAAACAGAAAATAAGTTCCTCAAATTGTTAACAATAAAATTAAAATTAGTATCCAAGTTTCCTTTTTTACTTGTCAGAAACATAGTTAATATGCCACATGATTGTAAACATTTCCTAATTGGCTCAATGACAACTCACTTAGTTGTTTTAGGTATCATAATGCCTATTTCCTCAAATATAATCATTCCATTTTTACTCATGACTGGCAACATAAATATATAAAAGCAAGAACTTTAAGGTCAAGCAGAGTCTTTTTAAACAACTTGCTTGGCATTGGAGGTATGTAATATTATCTCATTCTGCTTTCTGTAATTAAAAACATAGCCAAGTTGGGGCTCTTAGATCAAATTTAGCCCTTCAACATATCCTGGATGAATGAGCAGCAATACGCCAAACAACAACAAAACAAGGTTCTATTCCATTTAGCCTTAATAAAGACACTCAAGACTTCATTCACATTATACATAGTTTTTAAACTACATGAATTTTTTAATACTTACTGAATAAGGAGGGGTAGGCAGTGATATCTTAGAAATAAGCTTTAATATGTGCCCATTTCTTTTATGAATAAAATGAAAAATAGAAATATTAACAATTACTGAATTATTTTCATCCAAATGTTCACAGAGAGGAAAAGGATGTGGTAAAGGCACACGAGATTCAACTTCATAAATGTCTTCATCTTGTTCTTCCAGCCATGAGCTGAGTTTGACAGTTGTCAAATAGTTCCTATAAGAATCCATCCTAGAAGATGTAGCTGCCAAGCTTCCTCATTTGCTTAATCAGTTTTCTACTACATTAAAAAGTTCTTTTTAGTTCATGAAGATATACCATAGCAGTATGAAAATTTCTTTTTTAGCACTAACAAGTAAACATAAAATTAATTCAGACACTGAACAATAAAAGGAGTGGGAAGGTCCAAGGAAAAAAGTCACAAATTTAAAAAGCTAGATCTCTATTAATCTTTCTCCAAAGAAATCCGAAAAAAGACAAAAAAAGAAAAAATAAAGCAATCAAGCAAACAAGCCAACAAAAACCACCTTTTTAACTGGAAAAACTAAATCCTTAAAAAATACAAGAACGAAAATATAAGTAGCAAATTCATTGAGCAATAAAATGGCTTCCTGTATCAAAAACATCTGTGGTAATAAATAAGCCTTCAAAGCAGAACCTGGCAAGGAAGGTCAAGTTTTAAATCTCCATAGTAGCAGTCTTGAGAAATGTAGCTGCAACATTATTCCCCTTGTTCTTACAGCTTCACTCCATTGAAAAGGAAAAGCTTTTCTGGACTGAGCTACTCAAATAGCCTCTCATGCTGAGCCAAAGGATTCTAGTCAGTGTCCCCTGAGGAAAAGGTCAGAACAAAGGGTGTGGTTTAATGTCTTTACCTATATGTACACTGACAGGTGGAATGTGAATTAGTACAGCCACAAAAAAGCCTGCCAAACAGGATCCAAGTTCACATCAGACCTTTGAAAAGGGCATTCAGACCAGTTTATAATGTTTTAAAGATAAGTTAGTATCTTTCCACCTGTTAAAAAACTGCTTTAATTTAAAAATGTAAACTCATGTGTATATGAATAATCTATATTACTAATCAGTTATTCAAGTATATCAAAGAAAATTATTTCTGGAAAATTAAATCATAATTTCCTTTTGATATTTCCTTAGAAATACTATTCATCTTTCAAGCAGTCACTAAAACTAAACAGATAGTTTAGTTATAATCTATTTCTACACTGCTTATAGTGCATGCTAAGAAAAAGCTTTGTATAAAGCTGCACTGTATATGCCAATTGAAAATTATATCAATTAAGGTATCTTATGAACCCTCACTAAACCTTAAAAGCCTAAGTTGTCTGTAATAGCCTTCTAGTAGCTCTAGAAACCTGTGCAATAGTGAATCAATAATCCACTCAGAATTAAGATAAACTTACTTTTTAATATTAAAATATTTTCAATAATGAAGGCTGTTTTAAAGAAGGGAAAAAGCTTTCATTTTGGTATCCTTTTTCTGTCCAGTAACCAAATATCCTAAACTCACAAAGCCTTTATCTAAATGGAAAAACCCATACTAGGGCAAGCAGGTAATAATAAAAATCCAGTCTACATCCACCCTCACTAAATATAGTTTTTGAGAAAAGCCAGTACTCAATCCCTGCAAGGTAAACTAATTAGAACTGAGAAAATGACATTTTCTACAGAAAGCCCAGAATTGACAGGGAGATGGCTTGTGACTGGGGAGAAGCAGCTTCCTCTTGTATGTCTGGATTCAGCAACGAGAAATGCTTACTTGTTCGGATTTTTTATGTAACCCTCTAATGAATCTGTGAAGATGTCTTAACACCTAAACAAGACAGTGGCCTAATCTCATCACTGTCATCTAACCGTGACTTTAGAGAGGCTTCTGCAGATATAAATTATCAATATCCTAGTTGCTGAGCTTTATGGACTGGTGGGACCCATGCTTAGTATATCAAATACCCCTTAGAATACTTTCTCTGCTCCCTCTGCAGATTATAGAG